GGACCTCCTGCTGCGTCATGCCTCCTCAGTTCCCGACCTCCTGCTGCATCATGCCTCCTCAGTTCCCGACCTCCTGCTGCGTCATGCCTCCTCCTCAGTCCTGGACCTCCTGCTGCCTCATGTCTCCTCCTCAGTTCCGGACCTCCTGTTGCCTCATGCCTCCTCAGTCAGACCCAGACCTCCTGCTACATCCTGCCTCCTCCTCAGTTCCGGACCTTCTGCTGCGTCATGCCTCCTCCTCAGTTCCGGACCTCCTGCTGCGTCATGCCTCCTCAGTCAGACCCAGACCTCCTGCTGCCTCATGCCTCCTCATTCAGACCCAGACCTCCTGCCTCCTCAGTCAGACCCAGACCTCCTGTTGCATCATGGTTCCTCAGTCAGACCCAGACCTCCTGCTGCGTCATGCCTCCTCAGTCAGACCCAGACCTCCTGTTGCCTCCTGCCTCCTCAGTCAGACCCAGACCTCCTGTTGCATCATGGCTCCTCAGTCAGACCCAGACCTCCTGCTGCATCATGCCTCCTCAGTCAGACTCAGACCTCCTGCTGCCTCATGCCTCCTCAGTCAGACTCAGACCTCCTGCTGCCTCATGCCTCCTCAGTCAGACTCAGACCTCCTGCTGCATCATGCCTCCTCAGTCAGACTCAGACCTCCTGCTGCCTCATGCCTCCTCAGTCAGACTCAGACCTCCTGCTGCCTCATGCCTCCTCAGTCAGACTCAGACCTCCTGCTGCCTCATGCCTCCTCAGTCAGACTCAGACCTCCTGCTGCATCATGCCTCCTCAGTCAGACTCAGACCTCCTGCTGCATCATGCCTCCTCAGTCAGACCCAGACCTCCTGCTGCGTCATGCCTCCTCAGTCAGACCTGGACCTCCTGTTGCCTCCTGCCTCCTCAGTCAGACCCAGACCTCCTGCTGCCTCATGCCTCCTCAGTCAGACCCAGACCTCCTGCTGCATCATGCCTCCTCAGTCAGACCCAGACCTCCTGCTGCATCATGCCTCCTCAGTCAGACCCAGACCTCCGGCTGCCTCATGCCTCCTCAGTCAGACCCGGACCTCCTGCTGCCTCATGCCTCCTCAGTCAGACCCAGACCTCCGGCTGCCTCATGCCTCCTCAGTCAGACCCGGACCTCCTGCTGCCTCATGCCTCCTCAGTCAGACCCAGACCTCCTGCTGCATCATGCCTCCTCAGTCAGACCCAGACCTCCTGCTGCATCATGCCTCCTCAGTCAGACCCAGACCTCCTGCTGCATCATGCCTCCTCAGTCAGACCCAGACCTCCGGCTGCCTCATGCCTCCTCAGTCAGACCCAGACCTCCTGCTGCATCATGCCTCCTCAGTCAGACCCAGACCTCCTGCTGCATCATGCCTCCTCAGTCAGACCCAGACCTCCGGCTGCCTCATGCCTCCTCAGTCAGACCCGGACCTCCTGCTGCCTCATGCCTCCTCAGTCAGACCTGGACCTCCTGCTGCCTCATGCCTCCTCAGTCAGACCCAGACCTCCTGCTGCATCATGCCTCCTCAGTCAGACCCAGACCTCCTGCTGCATCATGCCTCCTCAGTCAGACCCAGACCTCCGGCTGCCTCATGCCTCCTCAGTCAGACCCGGACCTCCTGCTGCCTCATGCCTCCTCAGTCAGACCTGGACCTCCTGCTGCGTCATGCCTCCTCCTCAGTCCTGGACCTCCTGCTGCCTCATGTCTCCTCCTCAGTTCCGGACCTCCTGTTGCCTCATGCCTCCTCAGTCAGACCCAGACCTCCTGCTACATCCTGCCTCCTCCTCAGTTCCGGACCTTCTGCTGCGTCATGCCTCCTCCTCAGTTCCGGACCTTCTGCTGCGTCATGCCTCCTCCTCAGTTCCGGACCTCCTGCTGCGTCATGCCTCCTCAGTCAGACCCAGACCTCCTGCTGCCTCATGCCTCCTCATTCAGACCCAGACCTCCTGCCTCCTCAGTCAGACCCAGACCTCCTGTTGCATCATGGTTCCTCAGTCAGACCCAGACCTCCTGCTGCGTCATGCCTCCTCAGTCAGACCCAGACCTCCTGTTGCCTCCTGCCTCCTCAGTCAGACCCAGACCTCCTGTTGCATCATGGCTCCTCAGTCAGACCCAGACCTCCTGCTGCATCATGCCTCCTCAGTCAGACTCAGACCTCCTGCTGCCTCATGCCTCCTCAGTCAGACTCAGACCTCCTGCTGCCTCATGCCTCCTCAGTCAGACTCAGACCTCCTGCTGCATCATGCCTCCTCAGTCAGACTCAGACCTCCTGCTGCCTCATGCCTCCTCAGTCAGACTCAGACCTCCTGCTGCCTCATGCCTCCTCAGTCAGACTCAGACCTCCTGCTGCCTCATGCCTCCTCAGTCAGACTCAGACCTCCTGCTGCATCATGCCTCCTCAGTCAGACTCAGACCTCCTGCTGCATCATGCCTCCTCAGTCAGACCCAGACCTCCTGCTGCGTCATGCCTCCTCAGTCAGACCTGGACCTCCTGTTGCCTCCTGCCTCCTCAGTCAGACCCAGACCTCCTGCTGCCTCATGCCTCCTCAGTCAGACCCAGACCTCCTGCTGCATCATGCCTCCTCAGTCAGACCCAGACCTCCTGCTGCATCATGCCTCCTCAGTCAGACCCAGACCTCCGGCTGCCTCATGCCTCCTCAGTCAGACCCGGACCTCCTGCTGCCTCATGCCTCCTCAGTCAGACCCAGACCTCCGGCTGCCTCATGCCTCCTCAGTCAGACCCGGACCTCCTGCTGCCTCATGCCTCCTCAGTCAGACCCAGACCTCCTGCTGCATCATGCCTCCTCAGTCAGACCCAGACCTCCTGCTGCATCATGCCTCCTCAGTCAGACCCAGACCTCCTGCTGCATCATGCCTCCTCAGTCAGACCCAGACCTCCGGCTGCCTCATGCCTCCTCAGTCAGACCCAGACCTCCTGCTGCATCATGCCTCCTCAGTCAGACCCAGACCTCCTGCTGCATCATGCCTCCTCAGTCAGACCCAGACCTCCGGCTGCCTCATGCCTCCTCAGTCAGACCCGGACCTCCTGCTGCCTCATGCCTCCTCAGTCAGACCTGGACCTCCTGCTGCCTCATGCCTCCTCAGTCAGACCCAGACCTCCTGCTGCATCATGCCTCCTCAGTCGGACCCAGACCTCCTGCTGCATCATGCCTCCTCAGTCAGACCCAGACCTCCGGCTGCCTCATGCTTCCTCAGTCAGACCTGGACCTTCTGCTGCCTCATGCCTCCTCAGTCAGTCCTGGACCTCCTGTTGCCTCATGCCTCCTCAGTCAGACCCAGACCTCCTGTTGCCTCATGCCTCCTCAGTCCTGGACCTCCTGTTGCCTCATGCCTCCTCAGTCCTGGACCTCCTGCTGCCTCATGCCTCCTCAGTCAGACCCAGACCTCCTGTTGCCTCATGCCTCCTCAGTCCTGGACCTCCTGCTGCCTCATGCCTCCTCAGTCAGACCCAGACCTCCTGTTGCCTCATGCCTCCTCAGTCCTGGACCTCCTGTTGCCTCATGCCTCCTCAGTCCTGGACCTCCTGTTGCCTCCTGCCTCCTCAGTCAGACCCAGACCTCCTGCTGCCTCATGCCTCCTCAGTCCTGGACCTCCTGCTGCCTCATGCCTCCTCAGTCCTGGACCTCCTGCTGCCTCATGCCTCCTCAGTCAGACCCAGACCTCCTGTTGCCTCATGCCTCCTCAGTCCTGGACCTCCTGCTGCCTCATGCCTCCTCAGTCCTGGACCTCCTGCTGCCTCATGCCTCCTCAGTCAGACCCAGACCTCCTGTTGCCTCATGCCTCCTCAGTCCTGGACCTCCCGTTGCGTCATGCCTCCTCAGTCCTGGACCTCCTGCTGCCTCATGTCTCCTCAGTCAGACCCAGACCTCCTGTTGCCTCATGCCTCCTCAGCAGGAAGTGAGCACATGGGTGTGGTGACGTGGTGAGGCCATCACTTCTACAGAATTGCAGTCATTTTCTCAGCAGTTTCAGCCTGAGGAGCTTCAGGTGAGACCCGCCTCCTCTAGCAGGCCGAAGCTCCTCTGTCTCCTGGTAGCAGCTCCAAATGGATCTCTCCTCTCTGAGGCTCCCGCTGGCCCTCTGGGCCCTGATGAGCCGCCAGGCTGTGTTTTCTCTCGGTGAGTTCAGCAATAAATTCCTCCTCAGAACATTCTTTTTTTACCTTCATCTAAAGAAGATTAAACATAGAAAACTGATCCAGATCCTTTAAAGTTGCAGGTTTCTTGATCTTTGCTAATTTTCCACATTTTTAATTGATTATTGAAAGTTCAGTAGAATGAGAGTCCATCTGTCTTAGAGGGTCCAACATGTGGCTCGGGGGCCACCAGTGGCCCGTTGGACCTTCTAGAATGGGTCTCAGTGATAAAGAACAAAAGTTTTACATCAAATGCAGGTTTAAAGCATTTAAAAAAATCCCTGCATTGATTTTTTTCTACAGAACAAAACTAAAAGTAACAGAAATAGTTTTCCTCTCATTATGATGGAAACTTTGAGTCTTTTTAACCTTAATTTTCCTTAAACATAAACTCTGCTGTTTGAAAAACGTTCTTAAAGGAAAGCTGTTTTTATCTTAAATCATTTTATTTTTTTTTCACTGCCTTTAATTTAACTTTTGCTGTTTTTATTTCTCTTTTAGTCTTTTTACACGTACTAGTTTTAGGGCGGCAATGAACGATTATTTTGCAAATCGATTCATAATTGGATAGCAAAGGTTCTTTAAAGAAGGCTTTAAATAAATTAAAGGAGGAGTTCTGGATTGACAGATAAAAACCTTTTTTTTTCTTAAATGCAAAATGTTTATACATTTTTTTTTTACAATTTTTGTATAATTCCTGCTCTAAGAGGGTGAATCTGTCTGCTAAATGCATGTTTTAGAGTCTCTATACTCCAGTTAACGATTAATTGATGATTATTTTCATTAATCAATTAAACACAATTGATCAGATTCATTGTTTCAGCTAGTTTAATACTGAACAGGAGATTCTCCTGGAACATTTGGTAAAGGAAATAACATCATAATATAAATAATATGGTGGTTTATAAAATGTGCTCATTCTTAAACAAGTTCCAGAATCATCAGCGGCTCTAAGGGTTTTATTTAGCAGGACTGACGGATCATGAAGCTCCCAGACCAGATCTGACCCCTGGTCCAAACAGGTTCATCATCAAAACGACGATCAGCGGACCGACAACAGAGTGGAGCTTCAACGGTCCAGTCAAAGTCCTGTGCTGGGACTCTTAAAAAAGCTGTGCAGAAACAAATGTCTGCAAAACTCAAGTGATGCAACATCGAAACAGAAGAGTCGGGTCTAAGTTTCCCACAATGATGCAGACAGGAAACTGATAAAGTTAGTTAGAAAACCACTGATGGAGCAGGTGAAGGTGGTGCTGCCAGCTCTCAGCTTTCTGTCTCATCATATTAAAGAAGACTAACAGACATGTTTGTGTTCTTATCTCACAGAAATAACAGTGGAGGAATCTGAGCTGAAACTATGCGAGTCAAAACGTATGTGTGTCACCAACCTGGAAGACTGCAATGGCCCACCTGCCTCCTCTCCACAGAGTGAGACCTGAGTCCTAAACTTATTTAAAACATCACATTTAACAGGAAGATGCAGGATAGTATGCAGCGGGTCATCCTGCTGAGCTGTCTGACACCTGGACCTCCAGCCACCAGGAGGCGCCGCTTTACTACAGCAACATCTAAAAAAATATAAATGCTGAGAAAAATGTAAAAATAATCCTGATTTTAGAAAGTTAAACTCATATATTATATGGATTCAATAAACATAAATATGACTGCTCTGGAGTTTATATCAACGGATTTACATTAATATCACCCACAGATCATTACATATTACTAATATTTTTTAATGTATTATTTTATAGTATTTTATTAAAATCTAGAAGTGATGCCTTTTTAAATAATGTTTAATTGCTCCACTATGAATTAACCACATAGCATTTAAATAAAACAAGTTTCGTTTCTTCAGAAAAGGAATCAGTCGATCACTTAAGTGCAGATTTACCTGCTTAAAAAGAAAAACAGCAAAGAAAATGATCAATGGATCATTATTTATACCTAAAACTAATACATTTGTGGTGATTTAATTAATTTAATGAATTTAATGACTAGCGTTAATCAGGAAAACAATAAAAAAACAATTTTCATCACGATCACTGAGTCTGGGAGCGGCCATTTTTGCCCAAATATAGTAACCCCTCCCTCCTGCCATCTTCCAGCAGTGACGTCACGGTGCGGTAAGCCTAGCGCCATTCTCCCCGCTTTCCAAGCTAAATCAATGGGAACTACTAGACACATCTGCAATCAACAACAATTATTGAAGATTTCCAGAGGACTTCACCATTGAAATTCACCAGAGCTATAGTGAAACTGACAACGCCCACGTGCATGGCAGCTGGATGCTGGAATACATCGGGTAAAAGTGAAAAAAAAGAGTTATTCCACCTTTCTGATTCCTGATCATTTGAACATTTAACCCTTAATTTCCCTGATCCAAATTTCAAGGCAAGAAAACCTCTTCTTTTTGTAACTTTGTATCGTCCACCAGGTCCTTACTCTGAATTTTTAGATGAGTTTTCAGAGTTCCTTTCCGATTTGGTATTAAATACTGACAGGGTCATCATAGTGGGAGATTTTAACATCCATGCTGACATTGAAGGCGATAGCTTAAGAGCAGCCTTTAATGCTATCTTAGACACTGTTGGCTTTGTTCAAAATGTGAATAGTCCCACGCATTCTCATCTTCATACTTTGGATCTTGTGCTGACATACGGCATAGAATGTGAAGAAATAACAGTATTTCCTCACAACCCTGTCCTCTCTGACCACTTTCCAATAACCTTCAGGATTACTTTAACAGAGTTCTCCTCCCCCAAAAGAAGGTTCAATTTTAGTAGATCTTTATCAGATAGTGCAGTTAAAAATTTTAAAGAATCTGCTTCACTTTCTCTCTGCTCTGTGTCACTGAGCAGTGCTGCAGAGTGCAAAAGCTTAGCTTATTCCCCTTCACAGGTTGATGATTTTGTTGATGGGGTTGCTAGTTCTCTGCGTATTGCCTTAGACAACGCAGCTCCTTCGAAAATGAAAACCGTTAAAAATAGAAAGCTTGCTCCTTGGTTTAATGCAGAGCTGCGTACTTTGAAGCAAAATGCTAGGAAACTGGAGAGAAAATATCGCTCCACAGGCCTGCGAGAGTCCTTCCTAGTCTGGAAAAATGGTTTACTGCTGTATAAGAGGACCCTTTGTAAAGCAAGAGCAGCATACTTCTCCTCATTAATAGAGGAGAATAAGAATAATCCTAGATTTCTTTTTAATACAGTTGCCAAACTCACCCAGAGCCATAGCTCTGTTGAACCGTCCATTCCACCTGCTCTTAGCAGCAATGATTTTATGGGATTCTTTATAAATAAGATTGATCTTATTAAAAATAAGATCATAAGCACTCCTCTATCCGCGATTGTACCTGAGGTAGTCATGGAATCTGAACCGGGTTTAGACTGCTTTGATCCAGTTGAACTCTCTGAATTAGCAAAATTATTGTCTTCATCTAAGCCTTCAACTTGTATGTTGGATCCAGTTCCAACCAGGTTATTTAAGGAGGTATTCCCTTAGATCTCCTCCTCCATTTTAGATGTGATTAATCTATCTCTGTTACAGGGATATGTACCTAAAGCTTTTAAGGTTGCTGTAATTAAACCTCTGCTTAAGAAACCGTCTCTTGACCCAGATGACTTGGTCAATTATAGACCTATATCCAATCTTCCTTTCTTATCCAAAATTCTTGAGAAAGTAGTTACCAAACAAGTTTGCGATCACTTACACCATAATGAACTTTTTGAAGAGTTTCAGTCTGGCTTTAGAGCTCATCATAGCACTGAAACAGCTCTGGTGAAAGTCACTAATGATATTCTCATGGCCTCAGATAATGGACTTGTATCTGTGCTCGTCCTGTTGGATCTTAGTGCTGCATTTGATACAGTTGACCATAATATTCTTTTAGAAAGACTTGAATATTTTGTTGGAATTAAAGGAACAGCACTAGACTGGTTTAAATCTTATCTATCTGATCGAATTCAGTTTGTTCATGTTAATGATAGATCTTCAACACGCTCAAAGGTTACCTGTGGAGTACCACAGGGATCAGTGCTAGGACCAATTCTCTTTACTTTATACATGCTCCCAATTGGTAGAATTATTAGACAGCATGGGATTAATTTCCACTGTTATGCTGATGATACCCAGCTATATCTGTCTATAAATCCAGATGAAGCTAACCCATTACATAGATTACAGACATGTCTTGAAGACATAAAAACCTGGATGACTCTTAACTTTCTGCTTCTGAATGCAGATAAAACAGAAGTTATAGTCTTTGGACCAGAGTCTCTGAAAAAGAAGCTGATTAGCCAGTCACTTCATTTGGATGGGATTAAACTGATTTCAGATAATAAAGTAAAAAATCTTGGTGTTATTTTTGATCAGGACCTGTCATTTAAATCCCATATCAAAGAGGTTTCTAGAATTTCCTTCTTTCATCTGAGGAACATTGCAAAAATTAGAAATATCCTGTCCAGGGGTGATGCTGAGAAACTAGTCCATGCATTTGTTACTTCAAGGCTGGACTATTGTAATTCTTTACTATCAGGAAGTCCACAAACTGTAGTTAAAAGCCTTCAGCTGATCCAAAATGCTGCAGCCAGGGTTCTGATGAAAATTAAAAAGAGAGATCATATCTCGCCTATCCTGGCTTCTCTTCATTGGCTTCCTGTTAAATCAAGAATAGAATTTAAAATCCTCCTTCTCACATATAAAGCCTTAAATGGCCAAGCACCATCTTATATCAGAGATCTGATTGTTCCTTATGTTCCTAACAGAGCACTTCGCTCTCAATCTGCAGGTTTACTAGTGGTTCCTAGAATTTCTAAAAGTAGAATGGGAGGCAGATCTTTTAGTTATCAGGCTCCTCTCCTGTGGAACCAACTACCAGTTTTAGTCCGTGAGGCAGACACCCTGTCTACTTTTAAGGCTAGGCTTAAAACTTTCCTTTTTGATAAAGCTTATAGTTAGGGTGGCTCAGGTTATCCTGAGCTATCTCTATAGTTATGCTGCTATAGGCTTAGACTTTTGGAGGACATAGGGACCCCCATTTCATCATTCTGCTTCATTCTCTCTCTGTTCTCCTATTCTGCAGAATCTGTTAGTTCAATCTCTAACCTTCTGCTCTCTCTGCTTTTCCTCAGAGTAGCTTTGCCTCGTCTGTTCCTGTTTGGCTGTGACGTCATCCTGGAAAGAAACATCAGCTGTGCTGCTTCCATCAACACCCTTGTTTATAGATGTTGGAGATCGGCCTGTTTTCCAGTGTGGTCCTGTTTCTCTGGCCGTGACTGAGTGGATGTGCTCTCTTCGTCCTCTGGCATGGGAGCTGCCTTGGAGCTCGTCTGCCTGGCTGTGTGTTTCCTGGACGGGGCCGCCTTTTACAGCTGCTTTTTGTGTCTCTGCTTCTGTCTCCTTGAACCCCAGTGGGCCTCAGCAGATGGCCGCTCACACTGAGCCTGGTTCTGCTGGAGGTTTCTTCCTGTTAAAAGGGAGTTTTTCCTCTCCACTGTCGCTACAAGCATGCTTAGTGTGGGGGATTGTATTTGAGTCAATGAGTCAATGCAATCAACTGGTTTTCCTTAGATAGAAAACTTTGTATCAATTTGACTGTATGATCTGGTTGAACTGTAAAGTGCCTTGAGATGACATGTGTTGTGAATTTGGCGCTATATAAATAAACTGAACTGAACTGAACTGATCCTCCACGGACGGGTTGGTCGTTGGATCGCCAACTTGAAGAGGGAGGATTTGCCATCGAACTTCTGGCCAGAGAAAAAACCCGTAATATGTAGCCAACATTTGGAAGAAGAATGTTTTCAAGATGACTTGGATAATAGCGCGTTGTGACAAACACCAGATACAGCACTGGGACTTGATCAACAGCCGATACCACACCGTGACGTCACTAACCAGTAGGTGGCAGTAGTGTTCTTTGACAAACATGGATGCCTCCAGTAAAGTACATTCACATGAAAATTACTCTGAATTAAAAACACTGAACATTTATTGAACAGGATGGAATCATTTCAGATTTAAAGAACTTTCAGTGAATTCTGAATATGAGCGACTTTTCCTTTAATGATTACCACCAGAAGGTAAAAAATGCTACAAGATCTGACATAATTAGGAGATTCAAAGTCCTAATTTCAACTTTAAATTTCCTTATGTCTCATAAATGTTACTTTCTATTTCATATTGAAAATTTATGTCTCATAATTGTAATTTAGAATTTCATAATTATGACTTATTTAAATTTTTCTTGAACTTATCCTAAAATGACTGTGCGGGCTGCAAACGGCCCCTGAGCCACAGTTTGGCCCCCCTGCTTGGCCCAAACCGACTCAGAGATCAGTCATATGGAAGCTGTCTGCTCAAAGTGCAAAAAGTTGGGTGGAAGGAAAAACTTTGGCACATCAGGAGATTCCTATGGAAGAGGATTAGGGACACAAAAAAATAAAAAAGTTAAATGATTTTTAAATGTTATTTCAATATAAATATCAATAATTATTGTCATATTTTTCTGAAATAAAATGTAAAAATCAGTGAACTTTTTTATTTTTCCAGTGGCCCTAATCCTCTTCCGTAGATCCCTGCAGCTTTTCCAGGAATATTCCATGATATATGAGCTTCACTTTCCATTAATGCACCAGGAATTAATATTTATTGTTAAAGATATTGATGCTTTGTGTTTTTATAAACGCTTTACTTCCCAAAGTTAAGAGGCTCTCCATCTGCAGCATCTGCGCTTTCTTCACTTAAAACTGCTGGATGATGTAACATTTAGACATTAATTAACATTTTCCTCAACAAGCGGCTCATAGATGTGTGTGCAGGTGGAGCAGTGGTTAGCATCTATAAAGGCCTTAGACCTGAGTGAAGTTGGCCCCCCCACCTTCTTCAAATCAGACAAAATTAGTGTCAAACTTTCGTGCGACATTTGTGCAGCAAAAATTTTCGTTTGTGCCACTATCGTTTTAAAGATATAAAGAAATATTTCTAGAGGTCATCAAAGGTCAACCAGCCCCTCCCACCTTCTTCAAATCAGACGAAATGGGTGTCAATTAACTCAGCTGCGTTTGTGCAGCAAAAATTGTCGTTTGTGCTGCTTTGGATTTGAAGATATTAATGAAAATGTAAAGTTCAAAAGGTCAACCACCCCCCCCACCTTCTTCAAATTAGACAAAATTAGTGTCAAACGTTTGTACAGCAAAAATTTTTGATTGTGCCGCTTTCATTTTAAAGATATAGAGAAATATTTCTAGAGGTCATCAAATCTTCTTCAAATCTTCAAACCCAAAGCAGCACAAACGAAATTTTTTGCTGCACAAACGGAGCTGAGTTAATTGACACCTATTTAATTCAATTTAATTCAATTCAGTTTATTTATATAGCGCCAAATTCACAACACATGTCATCTCAAGGCACTTTCCAGTTCACCAGATCATCCAGTCAAATTGATACAAAGTTTTCTATCTAAGGAAAACCAGTTGATTGCATTGACTCATTGACTCTTCAGCAATCCCTCACACTAAGCATGCTTGTAGCAACAGTGGAGAGGAAAAACTCCCTTTTAACAGGAAGAAACCTCCAGCAGAACCAGGCTCAGTGTGAGCGGCCATCTGCTGAGGCCCACTGGGGTTCAAGGAGACAGAAGCAGAGATACAAAAAGCAGCTGTAAAAGGCGGCCCCATCCAGGAAACACACAGCCAGGCAGACGAGCTCCAAGGCAGCTCCCATGTCAGAGGATGAAGAGAGCACATCCAGTTAGTCACGGTCAGAGAAACAGGACCACACTGGAAAACAGGCCAATCTCCAACATCTATAAACAAGGGTGTTGATGGAATGGTATTTCGTCTGATTTGAAGAAGGTGGGGGGGCTGGTTGACCTTTGATGACCTCTAGAAATATTTCTTTATATCTTTAAAATGATAGCGGCACGAAGGAAAATTTTTGCTGCACAAACGTTTGACACTAATTTTGTCTGATTTGAAGAAGGTGGGGGGGCCAACTTCACTCAGGTAGGCCTTAGTCCTCGATGCGGGTGAACCGGGTTCGAATCTGGCCTGTGGTCCTTTCCCGCATGCCCCCCCCTCTCTCATACCACTAGTGCCGTCAAAACTCAAATAAAATGAATAAATGTGCAGGCAGGAAGTGGATCCACAGGCCGACCGTACAGCAGACACCTTTCTGTGGAACACTTCCTTCCATAAAGGCCTTCAGTGAAAGAATTAAAGTGTGAGACGCTGAACCTAAATGGAGTTTTTTTTTTCTCCTTTCTGCAGAGAGTCTGAACATGTCCTGCCTTTACCAGATAAGTCCAGACGAAACCAGATCTGTGACCTGCAGCTGGAGCGATGAGCCTGGAGCTGAGGCCTCTCTGCAACTGAGCAGGTCAGTCTGCTCCTCACTGGAATCCCTTTAACGTCTGCTCCAGCCTCGGCTAACGTCTGTCTGTCCTCTCTCTCAGATCGGAAGAAATATATTCCTGTATTTTTAACCCGTTATCCAAATTCAACGTGACCGCCAGGATAAAGAGCTTACGGACTGGGGAGGTGGTTTGGTCTCAGCCTCAGCCGCTGGTTCTGTTTAAAATAGGTAAAACACCAACACCCTTCCTCTGGTTTTAAATCAGCGCCTCCAGCATGTTTAGAGCCAAAGCTTTGCGTCCGTATCATATGAAAAAACTGGAAAATCTCAGTTGTGTCTGCAGCAAAGCAGATAAAGAATCAAACAGCAGATAAACCTCACATCTCAAAGCCACATCTGTTCTCTGCACTTCAGACATGTTTCCTAACCTTAGCAGAGCTTTCAGCTGAGCGCTCCAGTCATGCTACTACAACACTGAAAAAACAATCTAGAAAAAGGTCAAACGTTTCTTAAAGTAAGAGTATTTACCCTTATTTTGGGTAGGTAAATGAGAACGTTTGCCCATGGAATGGGTATTTTAACTTTTTTTTTCGCCATATTGTTCCACTTGTTCATGTATATAAATTGCTTTATTACAATTATGCAGGGAGTTTTTGGACATTGCAATGTAAGTAGAACAGAGAAAAAAGGAGAAAAGATGAAAGAAAGAGAAGATAAAAGGGAGATAATGATAAAACATGTTCAGTCTGCTTCATCACCTGCAAAGAGATGGAAAAAGAACAGCACAACCAACGGATATAAGAGATACAATAAAGAAACACCTAGATACTATCGCTGAAGTATAAGTGGTAGCTGAAGATCAGAATATGGGCTTTCTGTATGGAAGTGAATCTCTGAGTACCTGGAACCAAGCACCTGTAGTTGATTGTGAGGGTGAACTTGTGCATGTAAAGTTTAGGAAAGGAAATATGCTCAATAGTGGTTATGGAGAGCCGAAGAGGTTCTCCACAACTCCCTTTGAACAGGAAGAAACCTCCAGCAGAACCAGGCTCAGTGTGAGCGGCCATCTGCTGAGGCCCACTGGGGTTCAAGGAGACAGAAGCAGACATAGAAAAAGAAGCATAGATACAAAAGGCAACTGTCAACCAGCTCCACAGGCGGCCCCGTCAAGGAAACACACAGCCAGGCAGACGAGCTCCGAGCCAGCTCCCATGTCAGAGGATGAAGAGAGCACAGAGTGGGAGAATAGAGATAGAATGAAGCAGAATGATGAAAAAGGGGTCCCTATGTCCTCCAGCAGTCTAAGCCTATAGCAGCAGAACTATAGAGATAGCTCAGGATAACCTGAGCCACTCTAACTAGAAGCTTTATCAAAAAGGAAAGTTTTAAGCCTAGCCTTAAAAGTTAGGCTTTTAAGGGTAGAGTTAAATAAGATAATGACTTAAGATTAAAAATCTTAAGTCATTATCTTATTTGTGTTTTTACAGCTGATAAAAACTCTCCATGATACAAGACAGTGCTTCTCTTCATTTTGGTAGATGTGATGGAAGTTAAGTTTTTAAACATATTTAATGGACAAAAATGAGGATAAATTAATAAAGATAAGCAATAATGAAATAAAAACATTTCTTTCTTTTGAAAAATAAAATGCAATGGTTCTTATTTTCTTTTTGTAGACCTCTAATGTGTTTGTAAGGTAAACCTGAAAGCCTTAAGAATTTAGAAATTTGTGTTGGTTTAATTAATCCTAAAATCCAATGGGGGGATTATTAAACTTGACTGAGCAATAATTATTTAACTTGTGAGGAAAACGCACTAAAACTGGGACTAAATCAGGAGGATAAACTAGAGCAAGGAGTAAAGCTTACTAAAAAGAACACTAGATGCAGAGAAAATGAAAAGGTGGGCTGGTGCAAAAATACTGACTGGATACGAACCGCGCATGTCCTTGTGTTTTAGCAGTGCTAACACACTAAGGTTGTGTTGAAAGCACGGCCTGGATTGTTATCATTATGGCGCTTTTATATACACTCACCGGCCACTTTATTAGGTACACCTGTCCAACTGCTCGTTAACACTTCATTTCTAAGCAGCCAATCACATGGCGGCAACTCAGTGCATTTAGGCATGTAGACAATCTCCTGCAGTTCAAAGCGAGCATCAGTATGGGGAAGAAAGGTGATTTGAGTGACTTTGAACGTGGCATGATTGTTGGTGCCAGAAGGGCTGGTCTGAGTATTTCAGAAACTGCTGATCTACTGGGATTTTCACGCACAACCATCTCTAGGGTTTACAGAGAATGGTCCGAAAAAGAAAAAACATCCAGTGAGCGGCAGTTCTGTGGGCGGAAATGCCTTGTTGATGCCAGAGGTCAGAGGAGAATGGCCAGACTGGTTGGAGCTGATAGAAGGGCAACAGTGACTCAAATAACCACCCGTTACAACCAAGGTGGGCAGAAGAGCATCTCTGAACGCACAGTACGTCGAACTTTGAGGCAGATGGGCTACAGCAGCAGAAGACCACACCGGGTGCCACTCCTTTCAGCTAAGAACAGGAAACTGAGGCTACAATTTGCACAAGCTCATGGAAATTGGACAATAGAAGATTGGAAAAACGTTGCCTGCTCTGATGAGTCTGGATTTCTGCTGCGACATTCGGATGGTAGGGTCAGAATTTGGCGTCTACAACATGAAAGCATGGATCCATCCTGCCTTGTATCAACGGTTCAGGCTGGTGGTGGTGGTGTCATGGTGTGGGGAATATTTTCCTGGCACTCTTTGGGCCCCTTGGTACCAATTGAGCATCGTTGCAACGCCACAGCCTACCTGAGTATTGTTGCTGACCATGTCCATCCCTTTATGACCACAATGTACCCAACTTCTGATGGCTACTTTCAGCAGGATAATGCGCCATAAACTAAGAAAATAAAGTCTAAGGAAGTTTTCATCCAGAATAGTAGAAAAATGATCCTTTAATAGAGTAGAGCAGTAAAGCTTCTGGCCTTCACATGTTTTCCTGCATTACTTTTAGTTTATACTTTAAGTAGTTTTAAAAATGGTACTTTTAGACTTTTACTGGAGTAAAAAGCTAAAGTTGATCCTCTAACTTCTACAAAAGTATTTTTTAACATAGGCTTCATACTGGAGGAATAAACATCAATACTTTTAACATTCAAAAAGTTAGATGTACACATGGATCAGCTCCGTCTGGCTGTGTTTTCTTGTTTTAATGCTTATTTAGTGAACGTCTTTGCATGTCGGCTGAATATGCTCTCATGTTTTGATCTTTTCCTCCTACAACCATGAAGAGAAAACTTGCCGTTTGTTCTCTGTGGCTCCTGATGAAGCTGACGGATGAAATCCTTCCTCTGTCTCTGCAGCCAAATATCCTCCGCCTGCTGTCACCCTCATTCATCAAACTGATGACTCGCTTGTTGTGTCGTGGAAAAGCAGGGATAAAGGCACCTACCGACTTCGTTACAAAAGCAGGGACTCTTCCACCTGGACTGAGGTTGGCATCTAGATCAATTAGCACCAGGTCTCCCCTTTTTTAAGATGCTGGACTAAAAGACATGATGGTTTAGGGTAGGCATCCCCAAAGTCAGTCCTAGGGGGCCGCTGTCCTGCAGGTTTTAGAGGTTTCCCTGCTCCACCTCAGCTGATTTTAATTGAAAGCTGATTAACAGGCTTGTGCTGGACTGTAATCATCATTTAGAAACCTCTAAAACCTTCAGGACAGCGGCCCTCCAGGAGAAATTTGGGGATTCCTGGTTTAGGGACTTCAACCTGTAAAAGTTGGACGAACTTAAAACTGATCAACTGATCAAACACAGATTTTAGGTTAGAAAACAGGATGAACAGAAACCATTTCAGTGTTTTTGCTGCCATGAGTTTTATTTATTAACGCTTTCAGTGCTGAAATATCTTTTTAACTCTATTCTGTGACTTTCTTGGCAAACACTGGAGGTAAGGAATGAGTGGAGCAGGAAGAAACTAAATTAGGGATGCACGATATAATCGGCCGCCTATCGGTATCGGCCTTAAAGCTGAATATCGGACATCGGCCACCCCACCGATATTTAACCCGATATTTGATCAGCTTCTGAGTTTCTAAAGTCGAAAAAAAAAAATACTACTTCTTCTTCTTCCTCAAAAACTTCTTTTTTACAGAATTAAAAACTTCATATGCTGATATATTGCCATTTAAAAACACCATATCATTCTCTTTTACTAATGAAATATTGCTATATGTCATCGTTATGCTACGAAATCCCCCGAAAATTCACCAAATGTTGCCATATTTTTATATGTTGATATATTGACGCGGTATCGATCTATTTTACTAACAAAATCTCACAAGAATTTGCAAAATATCACGAGAGTTTGTAACAGAACGATGAAATTTCACCAGATTTTGAAAGTAAAATAGATCGATACCGCGTTTTTAAAAATCTATTTGATATCAGCATATGAAAATATATTTGTGTATATTATTTTTCAAAGGGTCAGAAATGGATAACAAAACTGCTATTTTCAATGACTACTTATTTTTGTCCAGCTTTAACATCGGTATCGATATCGGTTATCGGCTACATGAGTTTTAAAATATCGGCATATCGGCCAAAATCCCAATATCGTGCATCCCTAAACTAAATGAATCCCCACTGGTGCCTGGAAGAGCAAAGGCAGCAGGGTGGGACCTACTGACAGGGCTGCTAAAGGGACCTCTTTCTGGTTTTACGGGTCCTTCAGCTCATCAAAACCCCAAATTCCTATCTCAAAAGATTAGCATATTTCATCCGACCAATAAAAGAAAAGTGTTCTTAATACAAAAAAGTCAAACTTCAAATAATTCTGTACAGTTATGCACTCAATACTTGGTGGCGAATCCTTTTGTAGAAATGACTGCTCTAATGCGGCATGGAGGCTATCAGGCTGCGGCACTGCTGAGGTGTTATGGAGGCCCACGATGCTTCCATAGCCGCCTTTAGCACATCCACAGTGTTGGGTCTTGCGTCTCTCAACTTTCTCTTCACAATATCCCACAGATTCTCTATGGGGTTCAGGTCAGGAGAGTTGGCAGGTCAAAGGAGCCCAGTGATACCATGGTCAGTAAACCAGTTACCAGTGGTTTTGGCTCTGTGAGCAGCTGCCAGGTGGTGCTGAAAAATGAAATCTTCATCTCCATAAAGCTTTTCAGCAGATGGAAGCATGAAGTGCTCCATAATCTCCTGATAGCTGCATTGACCCTGTCCTGGATAAAACCCAGTGGACCAACACCAGCTGACATGGCGCCCCAGACCATCACTGACTGAGGCTACTGACTCTGGACTTCTGGCATTCTGGCATTTCCTTCTCCCCAGTCTTCCTCCAGACTCTGGCTCCTTGATTTCCAAATGACCTGCAGAACTGAGCTACAGTCCAATACTGCTTCTCTGTAGGTCAGGCGCCTCTGCTGCTGTTTCTGGTTCAAAGGTGGCCTGACCTGGGGAATGCGGCACCTGTAGCCCATTTCCTGCACACGCCTGTGCACAGTGGCTCTGGATGTTTCTATCCAGACTCAGTCCACTGCGTCCGCAGGTCCCCCAAGGTCTGGAATCGAACCTTCTCCACAATCTTCCTCAGGGTCCGCTCACCTCTTCTGGCTGTGCAGCGTGTTCTGCCACTTTTTCCTTCCCACTGAGGCGCCTTGATGAAGCAGCACTCTGGGAACAGTCTATTGGTTCAGAAATCTCTTTCTGTCTCATTTCCTCTTGCTTGAGGGGGTCAACGATGGCCTTCTGGACAGCAGTCAGGTCCCAGTCTGACCCATGATTGGGGTTCTGAGTGATGAACCAGGCTGGGAGTGTTAAGGGCCTCAGGAATGTTTAGCAGGTGTTTAGAGTTAATTTGTTGATTCAGATGATCAGGTGCATAGCTCCTTTAGAGACCTTTATCATGATATGCTAATTTTGTGAGATAGACTTTTGGGTTTTCATGAGCTGTAAGTCAAAATCATCCGTATTAAGACAATAAAAGACCTGAAATATTTCAGTTAGTGTGCAATGAATCTAAAATATATGAATGTTCAAATTTTATCATTACATTATGGAAAATAAGGAACTTTATCACAAACTTTATCACAATATGCTAATATATGCTGTATTTTAGGTTTCAGATCAAATTCCTGCAAAGGAAGTTCAGAACTACACAATCAAAAACCTGCTGCCATTCATGGTGTACAAAGTTTCTATGGCCTACCATCGAGGATACGGCCTCTGGAGTGACTGGAGCTCAGAGGCAACCGGACGAACGCTGGATAGAGGTAAAACTTCCCAAGCTCACAGATTTAAAAGGGAACCTTCACCAGATCTGTGACCCTGAAGCCACTGCTGGTTTATCAGGACGCTAAAAAATGATGGTGGCTCTTTAACAACTTTTAAAACATGTATTTTAAACAAAAACGTAAGAAAATGGGATTCCAGGTCGCTTTAGTCTGAATGCTGTTGTAGGAAAAAGTTATTCAACTATACAGTACAGTTATATAAATATACCGTAAATGTATTCACTCAGTCGATACTTTATTCTTTGCAAAATAAAAGGAGAAGAAGACATCAACAGCCGTCACAGCATGATGTTTCTGGACTAGACAGCGTTTCTCTCACTAATTAAAACCCTGCAGAACGGCTGTGAAGTTCTCTACATATTGTTGAAAATAGCACATAATGGTATGAAATAATCCCTTAGAAATAGTCTAGCTTCTTATAAGAACCATCATTTTTATCCCAAACATTCCCTAATAGGATAAACAACCCATCTCCCTTATACCCCTTTCCTACTGGCTGAAAAACCTGTTTAAACCCAGTAAAAAATCAGCTTTTAGTGGCGGTGGGAACATCTCACTGATGCGTGTCTATCCTGGTCAAATGACTCGGCAAGCGACCCGCGCTAAAACCACCTCGGAACGGCATGCTGTGGGAACGGGTTGACCCGCTAATTTACGTGATAGCACTGAATGCATCGTAGATGTCAACACACCGCGCCAGTCGCCTCTGATCTAACAATCAGAATCAACTCTGTTTACATTTGATAAACACGGACAGATAATGGAGAGAAACAATAAAGCACACTGACTACGCCACGACTTCCTTACATGTTGCTGTCCATTGTCTACTTCCCTGATTTCTGTCATCATCAACTCTAACCCAGCGTAATGGAGTCACCAGACACGCAGCTGTGGGGGCTGCCAGCGTGGGGTTAGACCAGCTTTTATTGCCAGTGGGAAGGTAGCTAAATGTCGATTGTTTGCGGGTCGACCCATGTTTGAAAAACGGGCGTTAACCTGCTATTTTCAGTGGGAAAGACGCTATAGACATCTTGTTGCCTTGCAGCTCTGAGGCCTGAATGAATGAAACTCAACACTCATAAATCATTGTATGTAAAAGGGAATTAATAGCTGCTGTTGTGAATAACTGTTAAATTCAGTACCAAGCATGCTGGGATACGACACTATCTGGGTTGCAGGGCAGAGAAGAGAGGTCTCACATCTGTTTTATGAGTAAAACTGCATCCCCTTCTCAGTGATCATCTTAAGGTGAGAGATGAACGTCTCAATGTCCAACATTATCATCATGGTTAATGGCACAACAATGCTGTTGCATGATGGTGATGTAATCAGCCTGTTGTGTACCACCAGAGATTCTGAAGTATGATCATATCTGAACAACGTAACCCTAAACACGTCAGCAGCACAGCAGAGGACCGCTAACCCCAAACCAAAGCTCTGCACCAAGATCTTTATCACTTTGTTCCAAAACATGAAGCAGACTTTAGAGCTTCTTTATATTTCTGTTGCCATAGAGATGGATTGATCTCCACTTAGGTGCAGAAGTTTAGGAGGAATCCCAGACAAGCCCCCAAGAAATTCTCCATCCAGCGGTTGCTGTGAAGAGGAAAATATTCTGGCGACAGCTGACAACCACAAAGATCAACACATCTGAATAGATAATGAAGATAAACAGTCTATTGTTGGTTTGTTCTAGAAGCAAACAATCGCAGATGTGCCTGAAAGCTGAGAGAAGCTGCACATGTTGCTCCTTACAGGATATATTTATTGTTGCACAGAGACAAAAATTTGTTCAAACATGATTTAGTTTTGGAGATTTATATTGTTTTAATGTAAAATCCAGTTGTTTCATGTTTTATTTCATTCCCTCTGTTCTTCTGCACAGTTTTAAATGAAAACTATTTTTTACTTCCTGTCAAATAAATGATGCTTGTTGATGTAATCCGCTAACCTTATTTTTCCCAGTGCCTTCCAAGCCTGCAGGGATATGTTACAGAGTGAAGAGAGAAGCAGTGAGGCTGACCGGGCTTCAACTTATCTGGATGGTAAAATATGCCAAATAATTCATCCTATACAAATCAATAAAAGACATCTATGGGTTCATTTCAGCAAGGGACATGACTGATAATTAATAATAATTAAGTCCCTTCTGGGAATTTAATTGTTTTTCTTAATGCCTGTTGGAAAAATACAATGGCTATAATTTATTTACATCGTGTGTGAAGCTGCACATTTATCTAATGCAAAAACAACTAATATATAGTAGCTCAGAAAATCTGCTCTATGTTATATTATTTTATTGCATTATAAAATTTAAATGATTAAAAACAAAGGAAACAAAATGCATTTCATTAAAAAAAGTAGAAATGATGTTAAACATGGAGACGTTCCCCTGAAGAAGGCCGTTCTTCGTCCTCTTTGTGCTTTAGGCCTCTGATCCTGGGGAGGCTGAGGGTCGGGTCCTCGGGTATAATGTTAGCATTAATTCAGTGAAACAGGATCAGAACGGGACTGAGATGATGGCGCTTCCAGTGGAGAAGGAGGGGAACTACAGCGTCGCTGTTCAGGCCTTCAACACTGCTGGATTTGGACCCGCAGCGCTGCTTCAAATCAACACACAAGCTCAGAACCGTAAGTAGTTCAGTGATTGGCTCCTGAAGCTCAAACCCTGAAATTATGGCTTTTAGTTTCAGTGGCCAACCCAAGATTTTTAGTAGCCCTATCTGCCCCCCCAAAACATTGTGATGGTTCCCTGATCGATTCATTTCACAGTAAAATAAACACAAACCATAATTTTTCAGACCAAAGCAAAACTTTTGACCTTTATCCTTTTAATCTCCACCATCGGCTCGTCATCAGCTGTTCCTCCAGTTTCACCAGATCCTGGGTGAGTTGCAGGTTCTTATCAGAGGAGGGATTGAAAGTTCAAGACGGGACCAGATGTGTCTTACTGTCGCATTCTCTCTGCTTGGATTGAGGCTAATCTTTCTCATCTGGGCAGGCCTGGAGGCTGCGGCCTGGAGGCTGCGGCTTGAAGGCTCCGAACTGGAGGCTCCGACCTGGAGGCTCCGACCTGGAGGCTGCGGCTTGGAGGCTCCGACCTGGAGGCTCAGACCTGGAGGCTCGGACCTGGAGGCTGCGGCTTGGAGGCTCCGGCCTGGAGGCTCCGGCCTGGAGGCTCCGACCTGAAGGCTCCGGCCTGAAGGCTCCGGCCTGGAGGCTGTGGCCTGGAGGCTGTGGCCTGGAGGCTCCGACCTGGAGGCTCCGGCCTGGAGGCTCCGGCCTGGAGGCTCCGGCCTGGAGGCTGCGGCCTGGAGGCTGCGGCCTGGAGGCTCCGGCCTGGAGGCTCCGGCCTGGAGGCTCCGGCCTGGAGGCTCCGACCTGGAGGCTCCGACCTGGAGGCTGCGGCCTGGAGGCTCCGGCCTGGAGGCTCCGACCTGGAGGCTCCGACCTGGAGGCTCCGGCCTGGAGGCTCCGACCTGGAGGCTCCGGCCTGAGCTGATCACTGAGGCTGAACAAAGAGGAGATTCTATAAATATCCAACAGAAAACCAATCAGATTGTTTTTTTTTTTATTTGAATGCTGTGGACATTGATAAACATTAAAGCTTATCGTTTGTTTTTATAAACCTTCAAATGTCATTTTTGCCCTCTGCCTAAACTAAACGTGTCCGCTTCAGAGATTTCATATTCCTCCTGCAGCTCTGCTCTCGGTGAGGAATCTCAGCATTTACAGCCGTATTCCAGAACGGAAGGAGCTGCAGGTCCAGTGGACGTCTCCCTCCGCCCCGCTCTGCAGCCATGTTGCTGTTCAGTGGCACTCAGAGCAGAATCCGTCCACCACACGAAGCATCCTAGTCGACTGTAACAGCTCTTCTGCTGTTATTCGAGGTTTGTTTAATCTGTATTTATAAAGACCTGAATACAGAATAATCAGCATAGACCTACGCAAACAGAAGCAGCTCATCTCCTCAACAAACCAAACTAATATGATCAGTTCCTCCTAATGAACATTTAAATGTGGACTTTTTGCAAAAAAAAATGAACAGAATAAAGCAGTTTGGAGCTTCAAAGCTACAAATACCAACCGACCAGTCACCAAGTTTCTACAGACAAACAAGGAATCTGACCTCAGATATGTTCTAAGAATAAACATATAAAAATGAAATAAATAGATATCTACACGTGGACTTTTAAAGATGAAAAGACATGTTTGGATTGATTCAAAGGGGATTCATTAGTCTCTGTGGTTTAAGCGTCCATCAGAGACCGATAGCGCCGAGCTGAGGGTTAAATCCACGCAGTTATGTCCAGGATGTGTGGGATCTGCAGACGGCTGCTTCTGTTTCTTTAAGCTGGACCAGAACCAGTCATTAGTGAGGGAGGGGGGGGGGGTCCATCTCTCTTCCTGCTAAAACACTTTTCTTCTCTGCTCCCTGATTGCTTGCTTTTACTCCTAACTTCTTATCTTGGCCAAAACTAGAAAATAGTCCGTCTGGAACTGCTTCATAACAGGGATTATTATTGTGTTGTCTAAGTTAACGCCCACTAATCAGCACAGGATGCCTCCTGTCACCATGGAGGACAAACCTTAACGGGAAATGTCTGTTCTGGAGATGAAAATCTCCAGAAGTGAATGTGGAGGTTAGTCCTGATCACAGCGATAATCCAACTCATATGGAGACGACCAAGAGGCTGTGGTTAATATGGGGAACAGTGATGATTCAGCTCCACTGTGACCACAGAGCAACAGACAGCTCAGTGACTCAGCTGGCAAATAAAACACTGATAATAAACGGCCAGTTTTAGAAAAACACCCACAAACATTCATGAAGACGAGTCACTGGAAGATCTCAGCACTTAAATCCCTCAGAATGGCCTGAATAGCAGAATAATCCTCCTGTTTCCCCTTAAGAGGAGAATTAGGGCAGAGGGTTGCTGTTACACCAGGAATGGCATCCTATTCCTTTAATGGGATCCTATTCCTTTAATGGGATCCTATTCCTTTAATGGGATCCTATTCCTTTAATGGGATCACATTCCTTTAATGGGATCATATTCCTTTAATGGGATCACATTCCTTTAATGGGATTGCATTCCTTTAATGGGATCCTATTCCTTTAATGGCATCCTATTCCTTTAATGGGATCCTATTCCTTTAATGGGATCCTATTCCTTTAATGGGATCCTATTCCTTTAATGGGATCCTATTCCTTTAATGGGATCCTATTCCTTTAATGGGATCACATTCCTTTAATGGGATCCTATTCCTTTAATGGGATCCTATTCCTTTAATGGGATCACATTCCTTTAATGGGATCATATTCCTTTAATGGGATCACATTCCTTTAATGGGATCGCATTCCTTTAATGGGATCCTATTCCTTTAATGGGATCATATTCCTTTAATGGGATCACATTCCTTTAATGGGATCGCATTCCTTTAATGGGATCCTATTCCTTTAATGGGATCCTATTCCTTTAATGGGATCGCATTCCTTTAATGGGATCCTATTCCTTTAATGGGATCCTATTCCTTTAATGGGATCATATTCCTTTAATGGGATCGCATTCCTTTAATGGGATCCTATTCCTTTAATGGGATCCTATTCCTTTAATGGGATCACATTCCTTTAATGGGATCACATTCCTTTAATGGGATCATATTCCTTTAATGGGATCACATTCCTTTAATGGGATCATATTCCTTTAATGGGATCACATTCCTTTAATGGGATCATATTCCTTTAATGGGATCACATTCCTTTAATTGGATCATATTCCTTTAATGGGGTCTCATTCCTTTAATGGGATCATATTCCTTTAATGGAATCACATTCCTTTAATGGGATCTCATTCATTTAATGGGATCTAATTCCTTTAATGGGATCTAATTCCTTTAATGGAATCACATTCCTTTAATGGGATCACATTCCTTTAATGGGATCACATTCCTTTAATGGGATCTAATTCCTTTAATGGGATCATATTCCTTTAATGGGATCACATTCCTTTAATGGGATCTCATTCCTTTAATGGGATCTCATTCCTTTAATGGGATCACATTCCTTTAATTGGATCACATTCCTTTAATGGGATCTCATTCCTTTAATGGGATCACATTCCTTTAATGGGATCACATTCCTTTAATGGGATCACATTCCTTTAATGGGATCCTATTCCTTTAATGGGATCACATTCCTTTAATGGGATCACATTCCTTTAATGGGATCATATTCCTTTAATGGGATCCTATTCCTTTAATGGGATCTCATTCCTTTAATGGGATCACATTCCTTTAATTGGATCACATTCCTTTAATGGGATCTCATTCCTTTAATGGGATCACATTCCTTTAATGGGATCTCATTCCTTTAATGGGATCACATTCCTTTAATGGGATCACATTCCTTTAATGGGATCACATTTCTTTAATGGGATCCTATTCCTTTAATGGGATCACATTCCTTTAATGGGATCACATTCCTTTAATGGGATCCTATTCCTTTAATGGGATCATATTCCTTTAATGGGATCACATTCCTTTAATGGGATCGCATTCCTTTAATGGGATCCTATTCCTTTAATGGGATCATATTCCTTTAATGGGATCACATTCCTTTAATGGGATCGCATTCCTTTAATGGGATCCTATTCCTTTAATGGGATCCTATTCCTTTAATGGGATCGCATTCCTTTAATGGGATCCTATTCCTTTAATGGGATCCTATTCCTTTAATGGGATGATATTCCTTTAATGGGATCGCATTCCTTTAATGGGATCCTATTCCTTTAATGGGATCCTATTCCTTTAATGGGATCACATTCCTTTAATGGGATCACATTCCTTTAATGGGATCATATTCCTTTAATGGGATCACATTCCTTTAATGGGATCATATTCCTTTAATGGGATCACATTCCTTTAATGGGATCATATTCCTTTAATGGGATCACATTCCTTTAATTGGATCATATTCCTTTAATGGGGTCTCATTCCTTTAATGGGATCATATTCCTTTAATAGAATCACATTCCTTTAATGGGATCTCATTCATTTAATGGGATCTAATTCCTTTAATGGGATCTAATTCCTTTAATGGAATCACATTCCTTTAATGGGATCACATTCCTTTAATGGGATCACATTCCTTTAATGGGATCTAATTCCTTTAATGGGATCATATTCCTTTAATGGGATCACATTCCTTTAATGGGATCTCATTCCTTTAATGGGATCTCATTCCTTTAATGGGATCACATTCCTTTAATTGGATCACATTCCTTTAATGGGATCTCATTCCTTTAATGGGATCACATTCCTTTAATGGGATCACATTCCTTTAATGGGATCACATTCCTTTAATGGGATCACATTCCTTTAATGGGATCACATTCCTTTAATGGGATCATATTCCTTTAATGGGATCCTATTCCTTTAATGGGATCTCATTCCTTTAATGGGATCACATTCCTTTAATTGGATCACATTCCTTTAATGGGATCTCATTCCTTTAATGGGATCACATTCCTTTAATGGGATCACATTCCTTTAATGGGATCCTATTCCTTTAATGGGATCCTATTCCTTTAATGGGATCTCATTCCTTTAATGGGATCACATTCCTTTAATGGGATCATATTCCTTTAATGGGATCCTATTCCTTTAATGGGATCTCATTCCTTTAATGGGATCTCATTCCTTTAACGGGATCACATTCCTTTAATGGGATCATATTCCTTTAATGGGATCACATTCCTTTAATGGGATCATATTCCTTTAATGGAATCACATTCCTTTAATGGGATCTCATTCATTTAATGGGATCTAATTCCTTTAATGGGATATCATTCCTTTAATGGGATCTCATTCCTTTAATGGGATCATATTCCTTTAATGGGATCTCATTCCTTTAATGGGATCTCATTCCTTTAATGGGATCTCATTCCTTTAATGGGATCATATTCCTTTAATGGGATCTCATTCCTTTAATGGGATCATATTGCTTTAATGGGATCTCATTCCTTTAATGGGATCATATTCCTTTAATGGGATCACATTCTTTTAATGGGATCACATTCCTATGCAGGTCATATTCATTCCGTAAAAGTAAAAAAAAAACAATCCACTGGACTTGGTTTCCAAGATTTGAAGACGTTTCGCTTCCCCTCCAGGAAGTTTTCTCAATTTAAATGTCTGGATCCACAGTGAGTTTGAGGCTTTATTGAGAGAAGGCCTTGTATTGCTTGGAAACATGCAAATTGAAACCGACGAGTGGGTCGTTTGGTTCCAGAGTTAGCCTGTAATACCTGAAACCTGTCTATGAATGTTAAGGGTCGGTCGTTAAGGGGGTATTGTTTTGGTCCTCAAGAAATAATAATGAATGGAATGGATAAAAAAAATAGATGGTTCCAGAGGGGCGTGAAGGAAGCCATCTATGTTAAGAGAGAAAAAACAACTTTAAACAGAGGTGGTGGACTCAGATTCCAGCTTCCAAAAACATACAATTCAATCATAGACATGATCCCTTCCAGATATCACCAAACCCCCCATCCCATCACAGAGGAACAAAGCACCTACCCGCTCCAGCCGGTGAACAATACCTCCTTAACGACCAACCCTTAACAACCATAGACAGGTTTCAGGTATTACAGGCGAACAATCGAACCAAACGACCCGCTCGTCGGTTTCAATTTACATGTTTCCAAGCGATACAAGTCCTTGTCAATATAAAGACTCAAACTCACAGCAGATCCAGACATTTGAATTGAGAAAACTTCCTGAAGGGGAAGCAAAACGTCTTCAAATCTTGGACACCAAGTCCAGTGGATTGTTTTTTTAAACACTTTTATGGACTAAGTTGAGAAACGGATTCAGTTTTTCCAGTCTGAAAAGATTCTTGTTGTGTTTGCAGATCTTGATCCCGATGAGTTCTACCAGGTCAGCGTCTTCCCTGTCTACCAGCAGCAGTGCGGACCGCCTCAGTCCCTGGAAGCCAATCTGGAGCTCGGAGGTAAACATGTCTACAGAAACACGGAACAGCCTCCATTTACGGGTTTGTCTAAGGAAAGAGGAAGCTTAATCTTACTTTCTGCTGTTTTGTCTCAGCTCTGATGAAGCCCATTGACCTGAAGGTCGTCAGCGTCTCTAAGACCTCGGTGACCGTAATGTGGGAGTGGCAAAAGGCAAAAGCAGACGATGTGGCCGAATACAAAGTGATGCTGAGGAGAGACACTGACCAACAAGGACCAAGTCAGTTTGAATCTGAAACGAAGCAGATTTTAATTTATTTTTGAAGTCATTTCTATTGAATGCATTTCGATGTTCTACATCCATCAAAACCATTAGAACACAGTGAGCCAAACTAAGTTTACTACAGTCCATCAGTGAACTAGATGACAGCAATATTCTCAACATAGTATCCTAAATCACATAACCTCATAATACAGAGAAATCCCAATCAATTTAATCATATATATATATACATATATATACAGTATATATATGTATATATATACACGTATATATATATATATATATATATATACACGTATATATATGTATATATATATATATATATATATATATATATATATATATATATATATATATATATACGTATATATATATATATATATATATATATATATATATATACATATGTATCTATATATATATATATGTATATATATATACATATATATATACATATGTGTGTGTATATATGCGTATATATATGTATACATATATATACATGTGTACATATGTATATGTATATATGTATGCATATAAAGTGGGGAGAACAAGTATTTGATACACTGTTGATTTTTCAGGTTTTCTTGCAAAGCTTGTAGAAGACTGTAATTTTTATCATAGGTACTCTTCAACTGTGAGTGATGGAATCTAAAACAAAAATCCAGAAAAATACAATGTATGATTTTTAAATAATTAATTTCCATTTAATTGTGTGAAATCAGTATTTGATACACCAGAACAATGAAACTTAATATTTGGTACAGAAACCTTTGTTTGCAATTACAGAGATCAGACATTTCCTGTAGTTCTTGACCAGGTTTGCACACACTGCAGCAGGGATTTTGGCCCACTCCTCCATACAGATAAAGAAGAACTAACATGTCTGTGAGAGCCAAAATTCCTACTGGTTGATAGATGATCAAATACTTATATATATATATATACTTATATACTTATATATATATATATATATATATATATATATATATATATATATATATATATATATATATATATATATATATATATATATATATATATATATATATATATATATATATATATATATATATCCATTCCCATACACAGGCCTCCGGTTTGTGAATTTGGTGTTTTCTAGGTGTGTCTCTGTGGCCGGACCTACATCAGCACATCTTCTCCAGCCTGACTCCCAACACCGAGTATTCTCTCATCCTATCGGTTGATGGTGATCTCCGTGACATCACCACAGTAAAAACCCAGTTTGGTGAGAAGTTCAGCCTAGCAACCCAGATTAAAGCGATAGCAGCTTGTTCTGTTAAATCATCCAGAAAAACGATCCAACCAGAAAAATGAGCATCAGAGCAACTTCAGAGGAAACAATGTTTGGAGCAACAGTGGGTCAGCAAACAGAACCGGATCCGTTGATTAATCTGATGTCTGCAGCGCTGCCGTCATTTAAACAGAATTCTGCCAAACTGAGCAGAACCAGCATGATTCTCAGAGACGTTGATCCGTTTCATAGTTGGTTGTTTTTCTTCCTCAGATGAGGCTGCAGTGGTGGCGCCACTGGTTCCTCTGCTTCTGCTGATCATCTCTGCCATGATCTGCTTCCTCCTCTTCAGAACTCTGTGAGAACCTCCACCCCTCCCTCATTATTGATGTGAAGGTGTTGCTCTTCTGTCTTGTTTATTGTCCTGAAGTTGTCTGAAAGGTGCTCTAAAAGCATGATATAATTATAGATGCTTATCTGCTGAGGATTTACTGGGTTGTTCTTTTTATGATGGTTTTTATGTTGATGTTCTGTGCATCATCATCTGGTTCACAAGATGTTTCCTCAGCACTGAAATTAAAATATTTTTACTAAATCAAACATTGGTTTAGAAATGTTCAATAAAACAGAAAATCTTCCAAAAAGCGATGAAGTTTTCTCCTGCTGTCAGCAGGTTCTGATGTCTATAAATCACATTTCTATGCAGATACAATTTGTACTTCTTCCCCCCCATCTGCAACCCTAACAGAAGTATGGTGGGCCAGTGGCTGCTGAACCCAAACCGGGAGGTAAACTGGTTTTTATTCTCTGTCTAACTGGGAGGGAGGGAGGAAAGAAGGAAGGAAGGGAGGGAGGGAGGAAGGAAGGGTGGGAGGGAGAAAAGAAGGAAGGAAGGGAGGGAGGGAGGGAGGAAAGAAGGAAGGAAGGGAGGGAGGGAGGAAGGGAGGGAGGAAGGACGAAGGAAAGAAGGAAGGACGGAAGGAAGGAAGGGAGGACGAAGGAAGGAAGGAAGGGAGGAAGGAAGGAAGGAAGGAAGGGTTGGTGTTTGGTGGGTATGCAGGTAGGTTGTCCCTGCGACACTGCGCCCGTTGTTGGTTTCCTGGAGGCTGTTTCGTCCTCCAACGTGAGGAACAGTGGATCCTTAATCTGATCTAATCTCATACCTAATCTATAATATTTATCCTGAGCTGGTTCAGTGCTGCTATAGGCTTAGACTGCTGGAGGACATAGGGACCCCTTTTTCATCATTCTGCTTCATTCTATCTCTATTCTCCCACTCTGCAGAATCTGTTAGTTCAATCTCTAACGTTCTGCTCTCTCTGCTTTTTCTCATAGTAGCTTCATCTGGTCTGTTCCTGTTTGGCTGTGACTCCATCCTGGAGAGAAATATCAGCTGTGCTGCTGCCATCAACACCTTTGTTTCTAGATGTTGGAGCTTGGCCTGTTTTCCAGTGTAGTCCTGTTTCTCTGACTGTGAATAACTGGATGTGCTCTCTTCATCCTCTTTTCCTCAGAAATGTGCACAGAAGACGTTCCTGGATATCTCAGATTTTAAGGTGAAGGATTTTCTAGGAGACAGCCATCTTATCCTGGTAACCCCAGAGGAGCGGCTCTCATCATCAGAAGATCTGCGTGAGAAAACATCCCTGCAGTCCATGGGGAAACTCTCTGTCTTCACCTCGACTGACAAGCTGGACTTTACGGATGTTCCCGGGACCGATCCAACCACAGGACAAGGCTTCGACATCCAACCAATCAAACAGCAGCAGCTCGATTCACTTCAGTCAGTTTTCACATCAAAGGATGCAAACATCTGGTCTCCTCACAGAGAAGAAGCCATTTATCCAACGTCCCATCATGGCGGCCCCTTCCCAGTGTTCCCAATTGGCTCCTGGAGACAACTTGTATCAGAGAGTGAAGAGCTGGAAGGCTTCTTGGAAGTGGAGTATATCACCAACAACTGCTTCAGAGCAGAGTCCACAGCTGGAGAGGAAACCAGTGACATCTGCCCCAATACTGCCCCCTAGTGGATATAGAATCCATGACACACCAAACATAAAACCTATTTGGATCAATTATAAAAGATGACTAAAATAAAACACTTCATCCTGCAGAAATTAAAACATATTAAAATAATTAACTCTTCATTTTTTAGACCAGTTTTTAGAGACCAAACTTCTGTAACACTGGTTTTAACTTGTTAAAGCGAAAATAGTTCAGATAAATGTTTGAATTAAAGACTAAAATCCTTAATCTGAGGGATGCTAATGAACAAAGCTAAAATGGAATTTATTTTTTACTTTTGAAAGTTTTTTGTATTAAAGCTTATTAGTAAATGCAAGAGACGGATTTCAGGTTTGATTAAATAAGTTGCATATAAGATCAGTTAAACATTTTTGTAAAGTCTTTATTCACCAGTTTTGTTTTTTAAGCAAGCTATTTAGAGTTTAAAGCAAAAAAAAAAAGCTTTTCTTTGCTGATGACGGCCACCTTTTGTCCTTCCTTCCTTCTTATTAAATTTTTCTTTTTTTTAGTTTGTTTTTATATCTTCTAAGAGTGTTTTTTGGTGTATTATAGATGCATTCTAAACCAGGAGTCTTAACATCATCATCATGGTTTCATCATAGCAATATATTTCCCTATTTTATGAAAGATGAAAAGCAGACATAATGTTCTACAGCCCATAATTTACTGTCTTTATGCATTTTTTTTTATTTTTAATCCAACATCAGTCTGTTATTCCCATAAATACCAATTATTCCTGTGCTCTAATTGGAACGTTTGCTTTTTTTATCTGAATATATCTTTTCTTATTAATAAATGTGCAAAGTATGAATTCCTCTCTGAGATGTTTTTTTTTCATATTCACATATTTGAAAATGTTCTTCTTTCTTGTATGATTCAGTTGTTTATCTGTCAGCTTCCTTCTGTCTTCTAGTTTTTCCTGCTGTGAGACATTAAAGCTATTTTCGTTCCACCTGGATTGTGTTCTAAACTCGCTGCTAAACCTGCGGCCTTCACATGTACAGGAAGCCGTTAAATCTGCAAAAGGTCAATCGACGTCATATTTAACCCTCTGGATTAAGAATAGTACCCGAGTGAAAAGACTTTTTGTGCTATAGACCAGTGATTCCCAACAGGGGGTACTTGTACCTCCCATGGTCCGTGAGTGCATTGCAAGGGGAACATGAAAATATTTAATTTCTCAGATAATAAAAATAGAATAGGGCTGGCATCTGTTTGGTACGACGGAATATTAGGGCCCGGCTAGAGAGATATATTTTTTCTCTTCTATCTCGAGAATAAAGTCGTAAAATTACGAGAAACAAGTTTTATTTTATGACATCTCTTCCAAGAATCCCTTTCTTCCCTAAAGTGAGGAATGTGGAGCATCAGGTGAAGTTCTACTTTAGCATCGGTTTGATTAATCAGGAAATCTTTTAGCAGCAGCATCAAACTGGGCAGGATGTCAAAGTGGACTCTGGTTGCTGATTGGTGGAGCTGGTCGGCCGTCATCTGCTGAACAGCCTGGATGGAGAGCTTTTTATTTTTCACAAGTACTTTTTGTTTTATAGCTGTGTAAAGGAAATGAGAATTAAAATTCATCCTGACATGTGTGACTCTGCAGGAGTAATGCAACGGCATGTGTTAATATTTAGCCCCACCCCCTAATGGCCGCCATCGTTGGAAAATAGGGCTGTGTTCGAATTCGTTTGCTCTGTTCGAAAACCTAGGACGCATCCTTAGAAGACCGGATTCAAAGGCCGATTACGTCATAGCGCGGCGCCGAGGTCTGGTCGGATTCCAAGAGTCCTCGTTATGCGGCCTTAAAATGCGTCCTTCTTTTTGCCCAAATTGAAGGACGGGTCCGATGTATCCTCGGTATTCTTGGATATCCCAGGATTCATTGCGAGACCAAGCAAGCCGTGATCAGAGGAAAGGTTACTTGGCGCCGAACAGTGGTGAAAATTGGAAGTTCAGTTTAATATAATACAAGTCATTTAATAGTTCCGTCTGAAATGAATGAAAATAGTTCTTTTAATGGTTACTGAGTCAGATATGTGGCGGTAATGTTTGATTTATCTAAAGGCTTTAATCTGTTACTGTGTAAATGGGTTTGGCTGGAATTTAAGGACAGATTCTAATAGATCTGCAGGGTGGGGACTATAAATCTGATAGGATTTTTGTCTTTTTATTGCTATTTTGCACAATATGCTTAACTTCCTATTTTTTGTTGTTGAATATTAGAGATTTTGCAGATATATTTTTTATACATATATTGTTTAGATTTACTTATATCTTTCTACCCCTTTTATAGAATAGAAAATCTCTTTATTTTCCCACAATGGGAAAATTTACAGCAGCAGAAAGATTATTGAAAATGGTCACACAAATGTAATAAAGTATAAAATGTATAAGAATAACATAATAGTGAAGAGTTAAAATATAAACAATGAAATACTGTAAAGTGTTTTAACAATATAAAACTGGGGAATAAATAACCAATATGCAGCTATGGACATTTTTCCAGTAATTTGAAAATAGCAGCAACATCAGAGGTGTGCAGAATGACAGCAGCAGGTTATTTAACTGACTAAGGTTTCTATCATTACATTTGATTTGATCTGTTCCTGCTCCCGGTGGTTGGAACATTTATTCCACTCTGGATTCTTGTGAGTGTAGTCATTGTTCACTTCACAATAAAAAAGAAATAAATAAACAGTTTTGAAAACTTCTGTATTCATTCTTTTCCTGCTTTGTGTGTCAACGTTCACGGTTGCTAAGCAACAGAGCATACGGCGGTAAAACCCGCCAAAGGGTAGACCTGGTCGAATTCACAGCCTAAACTCTTCAGGTCTCCTTATTTTCAAGGACTTCGAAGGATCCAGTCTAGGTAGACCACGTCCTTGGAGGACCCGTCCTAGGTTTTCGAACAGAGCCATTGGCAGTGTCGCTACCCGATCCGTACCGGTAGCACGATCCGTACCATCAGCTCATTTGCGCCTGCGCGAACAGAATAACTTCCGGGTCGCCAAAAAATAATGTAATTACGGTACTGAAAAAACTTTATTTATATCCTTAAATAATTAAAGAATACTAAACTACATCGTAAAGACAATACTGAAGACTTTTCTGGAAGAAATGGATGCTTTTTAAATTCAATCCATTGTATTGCTTGACGTCATTTTTTCTGGAATAAAAATCCAAATTTTCGGGAAATGTTCCCTTATCAATGAAAAACTGCAGGTCACGAAAGGTAGCAAATGAATCCATTGTGGGATCAGTACTGCTGGAGTGCATAGTTAAGTACAGAGTAAATCAAATATTTAAACAAATTTAAATATATACGCTGTGTGACGTATATTTGCGCATGCTCAGAGCAGTCAAAGTAACTATCACAAGGCGATTGAACTTTTTTATGTATTTCTGTTTTTTTATTTTTAGAAAATGCAATATTGACGAAAATACAAAGATATACAAAAAGAAACCCATGCCTCTAAAAAATACAAAAGAATAAAAAAGTAAGAAAACGGAAATATTTCCACCGGAAGTTATTCTGTTTGTGCACGCGCAAATGAGCTGATGGTACGGATCGTGCTTCCGGTACGGATCGGGTAATGACAGGCTGCATCCCATAGATATCCATAATAAAGGCTAGATGTCTCGTCCGCGCTGCTGGCCAATGGGGGTCGACGTCCGCACGTGGCGGCCATCTTACCACAGGCAGCTCGCTCATTCGTAGCATTGTGTTTCAATGGGGCATGTACTGAAATAACCATAACTTCCTCAATTGTCTAACTATTCTCAAACTGTTTGGTTTGTTAAACAAAAGTCAGACATGTAGTTGTGATACTGCGCACTTAGGAATAATTATAACCATGGAATTTCATATGAAAAGAACACTGAATAGAACATACAGGTGCAATAAATATACACATGCACAAGGTATTTATGTTAAATCAATATATGCTATTAAAACTCAGTGTACAGAATGGCAACCATATATATATGGTCCCAGAAATATATATATATATATAATGTATATATACAATATATATATATATATATATATATATAATATATATATACACAATATATATATATATAATGTATATATACAATATATATATATATATATATATATATATAATGTATATATACAATATATATATATATATAATATATATATATATATATTGTGTATATATATATATAATATATATATTGTGTATATATATATATATATATAATATATATATATATAGTATATATATATAAAATACAGAATGGCAACCATATATATATGGTCCCAGAAATATATATATATATATATATATATATATATATATATATATATATATATATATATATATAATGTATATATACAATATATATATATATATATATATATATATATATATATATATATATATATATATATATATATATATATATATATATATATATATATATATATATAATGTATATATACAATATATATATATATAATATATATATATATTGTGTATATATATATATATATATTGTGTATATATATATATATATATATATATATTGTATATATATATAAAATATATATATATATAATATAAATAATATATATATATATTGTATATCTATATATTGTACATCTAGTTCCTACGCATCACTTCAATATTGTTCTCTTCCTTTTCTTCCTTTGGTTTTATTTTACTTTCTGCTGTTTTGTTTTCTGTGGCATCTTATGCTTGTACTTTTTAGCTCCCTGTTTTTAATGTTTTTATCTGCCTGTACAGTGTCCTTGGGTGTTGTGATAAGGCGCTTTCAAATAAAATGTATTATTATTATTATTATATAAAATATATATATATATATATATATTATAATACATATATATATATATATATATATATATATATATATATATATATATATAAACACTTTTATTTGAGTGTGATTAATTATTTCACAGTCCTAATTTATTTATATTTACATAAATACTTTTATAATATAAATATTACTGTTATAATAAATTTGAAATACTGACAAAAAAGGCTTATTGTGTGGCAACCTCTCGGTGTAGAAGCATAATCCAGGTTTCAAATTAAAGGTTGCACTGTGAAGTTTAATGTAGACTATTCGGATTATATATCAGTAATTACACAAAAGTTCCTATTTTTAAACCATTATAAAAGTGAAATTTATTTGCTATTAAAATTGGTACAATAGTCCCCTTCACAAGTATATATAGATGTAGCATGTTGAAATCCCCACCTACACTACTGTGATGGTATACACATGGAAGACAGAGATGAAAAAATGACCCAAAAAACATAGCTTGGTTAATGCCCTTTGAAAAGGACGGTTTTATTGTGTTTCTGTCGCATGTTGTTGCTCTGTAAGCCAAGGTTGGTTATTTTGGCAATGTGGTGCAGCCTTAACTTAAAAAACAAGGACACAACCAATGTTAACAGCGTATGGTGGTGGCTGTCTATGCCATACTGCGTTTCTCCGATGTGCTCTCCAAGCACAAACACATCCTCTGACCCTATCCTCTTCCGTACAATGTACACGACCTCTAGCACTTTGATGGGCTGTGATCGTCTGGTACATGAGGTCTGACGAAGAACCCACTCTGCTGCCCTGACTACCATCACAGTGCCTTCTGATGGAATCACCCTCCATTGTTTTTTAACTTCAGCAGGTGGTAGTTCTGGTCCTTGATGGCAGATGCAGCATCTGTTACCAAGCTGGCACGGCAGACATCACAGGACAGCTTTTTCAGAGCCCGTCGCACAACAAATCCTGAAATAAGAGTTGTATTATTAAAATAATTTATAATAACCATGGGGAAATTAAGGGAACATTTATCTTTTTGGGCCATTGGGATATTGATTTCCCTCAGGTTTTGACTATTGGCAATCTTGTAATACTATTAAGTCATAGCCCCGCTGTTCCTGTGTACCAGAGCCTGTATTGTACATACATCCACTAATTAACTAACGATTATCCCAAAAACCAATCATAATTTCATATCTTACATGTGAAAGGTGATCCCACTGGCACTCGTTTTGACACTACGGCGATTGGAGCATCCGTAGGCAGCACAAAAGTCTGGCATCTTCCTATTAATAGACCCAGCAAATTCCTGTAACATAATGTAAGATGTTTTGACAAACCAAATCGATTGGAAATCATGCATTAATCATGTATAAATTCTGCCTCTTCCACTGATGCAAAGTTGCTGGTTAACGTTAGCAGCTAGCTAAACTGTAACGTTAGCTGCTAACTTACTAACTTTAGGTCTCACTTCGCAGCTTCTTGTTATTAGCCAGCTAACGTTAGGCTAATAATGAAAATCCAACAACACTCAGATTATTGTTATTAGCCAACTAATAGCTACAACCACATCCACAAAGATTGTAATTTACACTAAAGATTAATTGTCATACAATCGTTATTGATAACTTGCGCAAGTAACCGTGATGCACAACTATGCTGCACGATCAAGTCATTTTTCGACAAGAAAATCTGCAATTTCGACATGTTCAAGCATCAAGAATTATAGCCACGTTCATAACGTTTGTAAGAAACCAAACTGTTTGTAAATCCGTCAAGAATTCAATGAGATAAGAGTATTTGTGTCCGTGCTGATCACTCACCTTACATTAAGTACCACAGAGCACAACAGAAAGCCTGCCTGTGGTAAGATGGCCGCCCGGTGATGACGTTTGAGACTCCGCCGTAAGACATCTAGCCTTTATTATGGATATCTATGCTGCATCCTTCCAACTCCTTGAAAATAAGGAGACCGGAAGTGTTTTGGCTGTGAATTCGAACAGGTCTACCCTTCGGCGGGTTTTACCGCTCTGTCGCTTAGCAACCGTGATAGTTGACACACAAAGCAGGAAAAGAATGAAAACCGAAGTGTTCAAATTTTTTATTTATTTATTTCTTATTATAAAGTGAACAAAGACTGATGAGAATCCAGAGTGGAATAAAGGTTCCAACCACCGGGAGCAGGAACAGATCAAATCAAATGTAATGATAGAAACCTTAGTCAGTTATATAACCTGCTGCTGTCATTCTGCACATCTCTGATGTTGCTGCTATTTTCAAATATCCATCACTGGAAAAATGTCCATAGCTGCATATTGGTTATTTATTCTCCAGTTTTATATTGTTAAAACACTTTACAGGATTGTATTTTTTTATATTTCAACTCTTCCCTATTATGTTATTCTTATACATTTTTCTAAGGTCCTCATTTGTGTGACCATTTTCAATAATCTTTCTGCTGATGTAAATCTGCCCATTGTGGGACAATAAAGGGATTTTCTATTCTACTCTAGAAAAGGGGTAGAAAGATAAAAAATATTTCTGCAAAATCTCTAATATTCAACAACAAAAAATATTTAGCTAAGCATATTGTGCAAAACAGCAATAAAAAAATTAAACTCCTATCAGATTTATAGTTCCCACTCTGCAGATATATTAGAAGCTGTCCTTAAATTCCAGCCAAACCCATTTACACAGTAACAGATTAAAACCTTTAGATAAATCAAACATTACCGCCACATATCTGACTCTATAACCATTAAAACAACTATTTTCATTAATCTCAGACTGAACTATTAAATGACTTGTATCATATTAAACTGAACTTCCAATTTTCACCACTGTTCGGCACCAAGTTACCTTTCCTCTGATCACGGCTTGCTTGGTCTCGCAATGAATCCTGGGATATCCAAGAATACCGAGGATACATCGGACCCGTCCTTCAAATTGGGCTAAAAGAAGGACGCATTTTAAGGCCGCATAACGAGGACTCTTGGAATCCGACCAGACCTCGATGCTGTGCTGTCGTGTGATCATCCTTTGAATCTGGCCTTCTGAGGATGCAGCCCAGGAATTCGAACGGAGCCTAGAGGCTCAGACCTTTCCAAGGAGGGGTCAGAGGTCATTGTGCGACCATTTCAGGTGATCTAACCCGCATGCGTTACATAAGCTGCTCTGTTATTCTTATTTTCTCTTCAGTTTGGTTAATTTCAATAAAATAACGGCTAAATCTTAAGAGCAAAGGCTTTGCCTCATGCAGAAGGTCTCCAAGAATGGAAATCAGCATATTTGTCTGACCAGATTCCCTTACATGAGTGGGAAATAATCCCATTTCCTCCTACCTCACTGCCCACTAAAACCTTTGTGGAACAAACATGCTTCAACTTATTCTGTCCAAATCTGCTTGACTTATAGTCAAGATGTGGATCCAGAGTTTCTAATGGGCCTTCATGGTGTTTTGCAGTGTTTATTTTTGAAACAAATTGTGCAAATATTTTTTAATGTTTTTCTTTGTTTAATCACTTATAAATCAGACATGGTGACATTTGAAATATTGATTCCACTTGAAAAAAATCCTCAAAGCCTTTTATGTTATGCAGATACAAACAATTGTATTTCCAATTCATAGTTTGGGAGCTGAACTTGCTTTAATTCTCTTGTAATTTTAATTAATTTCAGGCAGACTGGGTTTAAAGGGTTAAATGTGATTGCAAAGGAGTTACTCAGAGGAGCCAGTTTTATAGATACAGGTTTATAATAAGACTTTATTTGTATTTATTTCAATACCTTGGTAATTTCCAGGCAACATATTTATGTTTTGTTTTTTTTCTTATGGCATGGAAAGAATAAATTGCCAAAGAATTAAATGCTCAACTTAAAAAAATAATTTATATTTATTTCATAATCAGTTGTATGTTCCACTTTTGGGCAATCATGACTACTTAGAGGGACTCATGGTAAGACTAAATGCCCCAAAGAGAAAGCAAGTGAAGAAGGTAGGGAACCAGAGCAACAGGGCAGTTTTCTACCTGCAGCACACCTGTAGTAACTTACAGGGAAAATACTGACACCTAGTGGCCATAAACACGCATGACAAGCTGAACATCCAACCTAATTTCATCTAAAACGTCACCATCAAATGTGACAAAACATTTCATCCTGTAAGCAGTTGAAATGACTGATATTTAACTTCTGCAGCATAAACGCTTCATTTAGAAACAACTGCATCATTAGCTTAAACTTCATGTAAGAAAAATGGCTTAATTGTTGCTAAAATCTAAGAAAAATTATTCCTTTCTGCAATAAGAAAAAATAAAACTCTTAGAATTGAGAGAAGCTAAAGACTGAAGCTTAAATATTTCATTCATAAAATATTTTATTAGTTGGTTTTATTAAAACATAATCTGGTTAATTATCGTAACCAAATACGTTTTATTCCCCTGTTTATTTCTGTTAAGCTCTTTACAGTTAATTAACTTTAATAACTGCTTTTCTTTGCTGATGACGGCCATCTTTTCTTCTCCAATCTCCAAAAAGGTTCCTTCCTCTGATGACTCCTGCTGATGCAGCTTCAGGTAAACTTTTGCTTCATCAGTTTCTTCTTGTTTTCCAGATAAAAAGTCAACCTGAAGCATCGTTTGAGGAATAAGGGAGTAAATCCCAGCAGCTGGTAAGATCTTTGATCCAGTTAGTTTCTGCAGAGCAGGAGATCCTGTGCTGAAGGTCAGAGGTCAAAGGTTGGAGTTCATGCAGATCCAGTGTCTGATCAGCTGGTGGGCGATGGTCTGTCTGGGGGGGACGACGAAGGCTGAGCGATCTCCTCTGAACAAAGAATCAATTACCTGGAAAAAAAAAGAAAAGAAAAAACTTTTTTTTTTTTTTTACATTTATATTTATTAAAAGGTCAACTTTTTTTATTTAAATTAAAAACTTTCATTTCAGCTCAATATATATTTTTATTTTCAAACCACTTTAAATTTTCTTTTACACAACTTTCCAAAAACATTTGTTCAACTAAAAGATGTGAAAATGACGAAGCAGCAGAAAACCTGCTCAGATTTAGGAATCTCAGCGTCCGCCATTAGGGGGCGTCACAGCGGCCCTCTGTTTCCTCCATATCTGACCCCAAATCTTTATTCGTATCGTATATAACTCGCTCTACATCACGGCTAACCAATTAAAAATCAGCGAGGTCCGAATAAAGAAAATCAACCAGTAAAGGTCTGGAGACATTTTTTATTGGAAGTTTTAACAGAATTTAACAGAGAAATAAAATGAGGTGTTTATGCGTCCATGTTTTACATTTACTTTTTAAATAAAAAAATTGAAAATGTTTCCATTTTAAAATTTAAAGTGAGAACAACAATCGTTCAGTTTGGTATGAAGACAATTTCCTGATTCACATGAAACCCCTGAACTGATGGTTTGTTATTTTCTTTCTTTTTTCTGTCTTAATGTTGGCAGTGGGCTTTAGGCTGCCCTGCGAGGCTTTAAACCTGGGTTTAACCGGAGACTAAGCCATTCTCAAGCACATATCGAGGTTAATATGCTGACCTGTTGCCGTGGAAACCAGCGGGCCTCCTCGATCTCGTTCTCGTCCACTTTGATGTCAGTGGACGTGGCGACCGCCATGCAGCCGATCATCAGGTTGGAGGGCATGGGCCACGGCTGGCAGGAGACGTACTGGACGGCGCCCACCTTCACGCCGCTCTCCTCCTCCACCTCCCTCCTCACCGCCTCCTCCATCGTCTCCCCTGCAGTGGGGGAGGGGGGACATGCAGCCACAGCTCAGACTGCAGCTTCAGGAAGGCTGCGATGCGTTTGAGTGTCGCCATCTCACCTGGTTCAACGAATCCGGCCAAACAGGAAAACATCCCAGGAGGGAAAATCTTCTTCCTTCCCAGTAAGCACTGGTTTCCATCGGGGTGAATCACCAACATGATGACCACTGGGTCTGAAACCACAATAAAATCAGCTTCATCTGGGCTCATTTAGATCCAATATCAGTCCAAGCAAAGACCTGGAGGACGCTTCACAGTTTGGAGTTCAGTCCTGTTTTTCTGCAGGTTTCCAGATGCTGTTTGCAGCTTAAAGCTTTGATACTTTAAAAGCAGCAGGAGGATCTGGAATCCCGATCTGCTGCTTTTGCAGCACATTAAGCTTTAGGGACTCAGTAAACACATAAAAACCTAAAATAAGCGTCTTTTAAAGGGGTGATAGAATGATTCTATAGGGCAGTGGTCCCCAAACTACGGCCCGCGGGCCGGATCCAGCCCACCTCCACACTTGGTACGGCCCCCTGAACAATACCAGAGAGTATTTTCATATAAGTGTTTTTTTTTTTTTTTTTTGTATTTGATATTAAAGTTGGACATTTGCAATAAAATGTTCCTTAATTATGAAGTTTTTTCATTATTAACTATTAGTAACTATTTCATTTCACACATATAACGCGACAATGTTCCACCCTTTTGATCTGGCAATCCCCAGCATAAAATCCTAAAACCGCCCCTCTCAAAGAGATACGGAAGAGGATTAGGGCCATTCAAAAAAATAAAAATAATAGTCTATTCAATTCTGACTTTATTCTCAGAATTCTGAGGAAAAAGTCAGAATTCTGACTTTAATTAAGAAAAAAAAAGTCAGAATTGAATAGTCTTTTTTTCTTTTAATTTTGAATGGCCCCAATCCTCTTCCGTAAAGAGAGAACAGAATAATGGCGAAAAGATTAGGTAAGAGAAAAATTGATTCAGAATGCAGGGCATTTAACCTGAATTGGACAAACAATATTTTTTTTGTTCAATGTAAAGAAAAGGCTGTCTGTCTCGTCTGTCAAGAGGCGGTGGCGGTATTCAAAGAATATAACCTGCGGAGACACTATGACTCCCGTCATAAAGACATAAATACAATCATAAATTTAGGCACTCTTGCAATCGTCACAATTTTTCTGTTACAAACTGACCCCGGGAAAAGTTATGTGGCCCTCACAGGAAAAAGTTTAGGGACCCCTGCTATAGGGTATTTGGTCCTTCAGGTCTCTAATAGGGTGTGTAACATTGGTTGGGCTGAAAATGGCATACTAGCTGTTCTATGAGCCCTAAGGAATGAAACCACAGGTTTTCTTCCTTCCAACATCTATAAACAAAGGTGCTGATGGCAGCAGCGCAGCTGAAATCCTCCTGCCTTGTTGCTTTTTTCTTTAGAATGAGTGTGGCTTCATACCGACTCTGGGATAGCAGGTGTTGTGGACGCCCTGCAGGCTCCTGCATTCAGAGTTGGAACAGCTCCTCTTGTATCCGCCCTCCTCCAGACGGGTGCTGCTGCCGCACGTTGGGCAGAAGCTGTAGCGGCTGTGCCATGCCAGCACCGACCGGGCCTGGGCTACGATGCCTGCAGGGCGGGAAGCATGATGTGAAATAGAACCAGGAGGAAGAAGGAAGGAACTCGGCATGTTTCTCACCCGCCTCGTCCTCGCTGAGCTTCAGCAGGTCTCTGTTCGGGGATCTGGGGAAGGAACAGTTCTTCTCTCTGCAGCGTTTCAGGAGTTCAGCAGCGTCTCTATCCGTGTTGATGGCAAACCAAACGGGAGGCTCAGCGATGCTCTGAGAGGAGGAGGAGGAGGAAGGGCTCCTTAGCTTCTCCATTCCCAGGAAGATCGTCACGGTTGAAGGTTCCTGCAGCAGGTCCTTCACATCCTGGTACCTGAACCGGCACAGCTGGAAGTCCCCCGGCTGCAGGAGACACAGGGAGAAATGACAGCCGTGTAATCCTGGAATAACGGAATTATATGTTGGATTTAAAATCCTGATCTTAGCGGAAAACGTTCACTAGTTCAACGATCAGATCTGGAATCCTGCAGAAAATGAATAAGCTGATTTGTTCAGGGACCTGATTTTAACAGCAAGTCAATAATATTTCATAAAAATACCGAAGAAAATACTAAAACATCACAATTTGAAGTGAAGGATAGAACTATGATTTAAAAATCATAGATATTATATACCCAGACGCCTAATTGGCTGTTTACTGACGTGCCTAGAGGGCGGCCATCTTGGGTCAGACCACAGTTCAGACAGCTGCAGTCAGAATGAACAGGAGGCGCCTCAGATCTCATTTTAATCACATGAAAGACGAGTCAGAGATAAAATGACGATAATCTCTTCCATGTCATATTTATTCAGATTAAAAACTATTTAATGTATTTTCATTAACCATTTAACTACTGGTTAAAATGTAGTTGAAGCAAAAGCAGAACTGATGAATTATTCAAGTTTTTGTTTAAAGTTTAGGTTAGCCGACTAATGTTAGCGCCAAGTTGCTCACTAAGCTAAGAGCGCGGTTTATTTGAGTTGATTTCAGCAATTCTGCTACGTTCACACCGAACGCGCTTTGAGCATCAAAAAGCTTCTGCTGCTTCCTTTCTGCTGCTCGTCCCCATTAAGGTCCAGTAAAGTTTCTCCAGATGCTTCTGCTGCTCCTGTGTTCGATGCCAGAGAGAAGCTTTGCTATATTAGCTGTGATCAGCGGGTAGAAAGTAGTTAGAATCTATGTTGAAGTGAGAAAGTCCTCCTGAAAACATGGTCTGTGCAGTCAGTTCATCCAGATTACCATCATGCCTTCAAAGATTATTTCTCTGTGGGAGCCGCTCAGACCCCCCCATACCGGCGCTGCGCTGTCACTGGGAATCCCCAGCAGCATCCTCTGGCCGGGTCGCCTACTCGCGGTTCACCGCAGCGGCTGGTAGGTGGTTTTCATCTAAATAATCTAAACTGCAGGCAGCAGGATAATAAAAGCCAACATATTCTGCCGGCAGATTTCTACATTTTAAGTCAATTTATGCGTCAATAAACAGTTTCAGAGGAGCGATCATAGCGCTCTGCATCAGCAGTGCTGCGTCTGACTCCCTGTCAGCTCCCAGATCAGCGTCTGTCGTTGGTTGACGCGGCACGTCGAGCAGCAAAAATAAAATTTTTCCATCTCGAGCAGCAGCGCGTTTGCGGCGCGTCAGATGCTTTAACGCTCCCGACGCGCTGCTTCAGCTGCTCAAAACACGCTGCGGGACATTTTGCTGAGCCTTGACGCGCATCAACCATTGACTTTGCATGTAAACTCGCTGCTTCTGCCACGCCTGCTGCATCCGGTGTGAACGCAGCATTAGCGTTTTTCAGGTCTGTGCTACAAACTGCAGACAGCAGGATAATAAAAGCCAACATATTCTGCGGCAGGTTTCTACATTTGAAGTTAATTTATGCGTCAATAAACAGTTTCAGAGGAGTGATCATAGCGCTCTGCATCAGCAGTGCTGCGTCTGACTCCCTGCCAGCTCCCAGTTCAGCTTCTCTCATTGGTTGATGCGGCGTCCAGCAGCTAAAGTTACATTTTTCCAACTTCAGCAGCTGCTGCTTGTGAAGCGCATCAGCTGCTCAGATGCATCATGAGGCTGCAGGACCTTTTGCTGCGCCTTGATGTGCGTCAACCGTTGACTTCGCATGTAAACTGGCTGCTTCTGCTGCTTAAAGTGCATCCGGTGTGAACGTAGCATCAGTATCCTTCCTTGAACCTGGTAGGGTCTCACAGGGCAAACAGGTTCTGCATCCCTGCACCTTCAGGAGGCCCTGACTGACTGATGTGATGAATTATTTATCGGAGGTAATCTGTGCGGTTTGTAGCATCATACCTTTACACCAGATCAACACACAGTGGTGCGTTAGACAAACTACAAGGCCCTGCAGCCGTTAGCGCTTAGCGTCGTACCCGTTCCCTGCTGTCCTCCTGGGACGTGTAGACCATGGGGCTGAGGTTGGAGAACAGGAGGAAGATGGTGTCTGCGGCGCTCAGTTTGGCCTCTAACCAAACTTTGTCGGTCCTCTTTGCGCTCAGCCGGTCCAGCGTCTCTCTGCCGAAATAGTTTTCCTGCGGGCTGAGATCGGCGCCCTGCAGGATTCGTCCGCAGGCGTCTCCGGAGCGGCTCAGCAGGCCGGCGATGTGTCGGTGGCCCCAGAACTTGGCGATGTCATAGGCAGTCTGGGACGAGCCGTTAACGGAGAACTGATCACAACTGGAACAGACAAAACCAGTTCAAGCTCTGCGGTCTCTACCAGCTGCATGTGGAATCATCTAAACAGCAGGTTACCCGAGCGAAAGCAGCTTCTCCACCACGTGGTGATGGCCGTTACGAGCCGCCAGCATCAGCGCCGTCCAGCCGCTGTTTCCCGTCTGGTTGAGGAGGTAAGGGACGTGCGACAGAAGGGAGGACACCAGGGACACGTCTCCTCTCGCTGCGGCGTCTAGAAACTTCTCCACCATCTCCTCCTTGGCGCTCAGCTGCAGACTCGTCATCTGTAATGCTGAACATTTACAAAAATTATTCTTCTGAGTGTGCTGGTGAAGATTCTCACTCATCCAGGTCATAGTCATTCCTAAAAAGTCAAATCAATCCTCTGGACTTTGTTTCCAAGTTTGAAGACGTTTCTCTTCCATCCAGGAAGCTTTTTCAATCCAAAATGTCAGAAATAGCGTTTAGTTCCAGGTTTTATCCAGCAGCCCAACAAAGCCTGGTTTATGTTTAGAAAACATGCAGATAGAAACGGATGAACGGGTCCCCCCCTTTGGAATGGGGGTCGTTTGGCTTCTTTGTTAGCCTGCAATGCCCCATACCTGTCTATGTCTCTGAAAGGGGGGGTCTTTAGAGGGAATTGTTGGCCTGGATGAACAGGCGAGGTCCTCTGTTCCCCTGTAATGGAGTTCGGGTTGCGATGAAGGGATGAACTAAATTTCTGCATTGTGTTTTTCTTTGTGGGACCCGTTCATCTGTTTCTATCTGCATGTTTTTAAACTAAAACCAGGCTTTGTTGGGCTGCTGGATAAAACCTGGAACTAAACACTATTTCTGACATTTAGAATTGAAAAAACTTTCTGGATGGAAGAGAAACTACATAATAAGTAGAAAGTATTAATCTAGAAGTTAAAAGGTGAAGCATGTCTCCTGCAGTCAGAGGCCTAATGTCCTGCTTCCGCTCCTCTGAGGGACATTCATTTCCCAAAAAAAACAGACTCTGGACCACTGAGCGACAGCCTGGTTCAATCACGGATTAAAACAACAGATGGGTCAAAGTTAATCCTTTTATTGATGTGTTGATAGATGCAGGGGCGGATTTAGGAAGTCTGGGGTCCTAGAAAAAGACAGGCAGGGGGCCTCTGAATGGAGAAGACATAAAACCGACCCATTCTACAGATATACAGAAATGTTAATAGAATAGACATCATGCAGCTACATTATAGTTTTCTATTTATTGACTGTGCAATATCCTGTGCAATATGCTTAATGTGCAATATTTCTCCACCTGTATATAAGCTATCTGGATTGTACATATTTTTATTTTATTCTTCATTGTGTACACTTGCACCTTAATTCTATTTATCTTGATATACTGTATAAACCTGGATATACTGTATATGTATTGTTTATTCTTAATGCACCTTTTTCCTCCCTGTTTGCACCTTCTGTAACTTCTATGCCAACATGTGACGAGTGAATTTCTCCGCTGTGAGATCAATAAAGCTCATCTAATCTAATCCATTATCTGTTCTAGGTTTTGTCCCTCTCTTCTTGTTTTCCTCTCTATGTTTTGTACTCAGCTGACTTTTCATGCAGTCTCTAAAGGAATGAAAGTCATAATTTCAGAGTGGGGGCTTCCATAGATCGGTGACCCCTGATCTTGTCAAAAGCTGAAAAGGGAACTGGCCCTTTAAGTGTTTCTCCTTTAACTATTGGACCGCAGCCTTGTCAGTTAAGCTGTAGCCCCGCCCGCTCAACGCCGTCGCGTTACAAAGGAAAGGTTCGCCTCTGATAATGAAGCTTTATTAAAGCAGGAGGCTTCTGCTGCTCTTTGTTCAGGTTTAGTTTCAATGAGTCAGACTTTCCCGCCTCTTCTGCTCCATTAACCCGCCCGGACACTGAATCACAACCCGCCGCAGCTTCCGGTTAATCCGGGCTTTAAACCCAGAAATTAGCCTCTGGAGATGAACCGACCGCTCAAAAGGAACCAGAAGAAGCTGACAGCTCACCTGCTTCCAGCAGATTCCTCCCAGACTCACCTTTCATCTGTTGGATAACCGAGCTGCGTTCAAAGGCAACGCAGGAGCTATGAGGCGTTCAGGGGCCGCCTGCGCTGTAGTAATTCCAAACGCTGTTCTTCTTTTCTTTCTCATTTATTTGGTATTTGATCAGTTCTGATGTCCTTATCAGAGGAGTTAAAATTATTCATTTTTTATTCACTCCAGTAGAAGAATATTGATTTCTGATTGTATGAAATCAGTCTCTAAATGAGTTTAAAAGATATTTGACCTTCAGGCTGTGATGTCACTGTTTTAACCTTTTGATTATGGTTTTCAACCATATTTGCTTGTTTTTCTAATAGAACATTATATGACAGTGATAAAGTTATTGATTAAATCACATAAATTCATACAATAAAAGGCAGCAATGTTCAAACCAGAGGTACGGAAGAGGATTAGGGCCACTGGGAAAAAAAAAAAAAACTTAACTGATTTTTTTTTTATTTTATTTCAGTATAGTATGGGAAAAAAGTCAGAATTCTGACTTTAATCACAGAATTCTGACTTTATTCTCAGAATTCTGAGATTAAAGTCAGAATTCTGACTGAATTCTGGCAATAAAAAAAAGTCAGAATATTGAGATTAAAGTCAGAATTTTTATTCTCAGAATTCTGACTTTATTCTCAGAATTCTGACTTTATTCTCAGAATTCTGACTTTATTCTCAGAATTCTGACTTTTTTCTCAGAATTCTGACTTTAATCTCAGAATTCTGAGAAAAAAGTCAGAATTCTGAGATTAAAGTCAGAATTTTTATTCTCAGAATTCTGACTTTATTCTCAGAATTCTGAGATTAAAGTCAGAATTCTGAGATTAAAGTCAGAATTCTGAGAAAAAAGTCAGAATTCTGAGAAAAAAGTCAGAATTCTGAGAAAAAAGTCAGAATTCTGAGAAAAAAGTCAGAATTCTGACTTTAATCTCAGAATTCTGACTTTAATCTCAGAATTCTGACTTTTTTCTCAGAATTCTGAGATTAAAGTCAGAATTCTGACTGAATTCTGACTTCAATTAATGAGAAAAAATTCAGTCAGAATTCTGACTTTAATCTCAGAATTCTGAGAAAAAAGTCAGAATTCTGAGATTAAAGTCAGAATTCTGACTTTTTTCTCAGAATTCTGACTTTAATCTCAGTATTCTGACTTTTTTTATTGCCAGAATTCAGTCAGAATTCTGAGATTAAAGTCAGAATTCTGACTGAATTCTGACTTCAATTAATGAGAAAAAATTCAGTCAGAATTCTGACTTTAATCTCAGAATTCTGACTTTTTTCTCAGAATTCTGACTTTTTTCTCAGAATTCTGACTTTAATCTCAGAATTCTGAGAAAAAAGTCAGAATTCTGAGATTAAAGTCAGAATTCTGACTTTTTTCCCATGTTAAACTGAAATAAAATTTAAAAATCAGTTTACTTTTTTTTTTCCCCAGTGGCCCTAATCCTCTTCCGTACAGAGGTGTCAAAGTATTAATGTTTATTCCTCCAGTATAAATCCTACTGTTTAAAAACACCAATTCAATCTTTTTACTCCAGTAAAACTGTAAAAGTACCATTTTTAAAACTACTTAAAGTATAAAACTAAAAGTAAAGCAGGAAAAAATGTTATGGCCAGAAGCTTTACTGCTCTACCTTATTAAAGAAAAAACATTTTTTCACAATTCCGGATAATAACTTCCTTAGACTTCATTTTCTTAGTTTTATAACTAATGGCGTCACATTTAACTTTGCTTTATCTTGAAAAATGATTTATTTTGGTATGTGGTGAACAACAGGTTGGGGCAGCACCGAGTCCAACCACAGAGAAATTAATTGATTGGCTGAAACTAATTATTTTGATGGTTTTCATTTTTTTTTTTTATACCAACAGGCCCTTAAAGGAAACAAAACTAATGAGTCTATTTTTAAAATGTAAGGAGTAGAAAGTAAAAAAGTTTTCTACAAAAATAATTACTGCAGTAATTAGTAATAGCAGTAGTAATTAGTAGTGATAGCAAACATTTCTACTTAAAGGTATAGAGGTGGATCATCTCAATCAGTGGTCCTCCCAAATGTCAATCATTCTGGGGATATGTTGAGGTAACGCCATGGTACGCGAATGGTGCACTTTCAGGCGTATATCTGTGGTGAGCTACGGATTCAGACAGTCATTGAAGCTCACCTTTCTCACCGCGGTTCTTTGAAAAAGGCAGAGTGTATGAGAAGAAAAGAAAGGCCTCAGAAGAGGCAGATATATCCCAGAATGCTTTGCGTGGAGAGCTCTCCTCGCCGAGCATTATGGGATCTGCTGTCACAGCGGCGCAGGCACCGCTCGGAGGAGGAGGAGTTAACGGACCGACAGAGCAAAAAGCAGTGATCGATTCTGTCTGAGCGATCAGTTAACTGAGTTCACTATAAAGTTCACTATATAGTCCTAGTATCTAGTGATTGAGGGGTTTAGCGGTTAGAGCGGATGTTCAGACAGAATAAGCTTGTGTGAGATATGGTAACGAGCGTGCACGAGGAGAAATGAGCTCGTGCACGCTCTTGCATGTGTTTAACAGGCGTTCCCTCTCTGGAGCAGGTAGAAGGTTGTGCATGTGCAAATTTGCGAAAATCCTCCACTATACCTTTAAGTAAGGTAATGAAATATTGAAATAATGAAATAATGAAATGGAGCGAGCGCAGAGATACACATCGGATCATCAGCAGGGTCGGTGGATAGTTCCGCTCCGTCATGGTGAAGGAAGGGGGACATTAAATTGATTTAATTATTGTTATTATTTGATCATTTCTAAAATTGGAATTGTTTTATTTATTATTATTTGTTCTTTTGATTCATTTATATTATTTGTTAATTTGATTTATTTATTTGATTTTTTTGTTACTATTATTGTCTGAAAAAAAAAATAAAAATTCATTCATTCATTCATTCATTCATTAAAGGCTAATGTTTCTGTTTATCCATCCGTCTCGCCCAGTCCTCACCAAGGGTCATGACACATTGATGGCGACTAAAATGAGGATCCTGGAGCTTGGCCTGTTTTCCAGTGTGGTCCTGTTTCTCTGACTGTGACTAACTGGATGTGCTCTCTTCATCCTCTGACATGGGAGCTGGCTCGGAGCTCGTCTGCCTGGCTGTGTGTTTCCTGGACGGGGCCGCCTGTGGAGCTGGTTGACAGTTGCCTTTTGTATCTATGCTTCTTTTTCTATGTCTGCTTCTGTCTCCTTGAACCCCAGTGGGCCTCAGCAGATGGCCGCTCACACTGAGCCTGGTTCTGCTGGAGGTTTCTTCCTGTTCAAAGGGAGTTTTTCCTCTCCACTGTCGCTACAAGCATGCTTAGTGTGAGGGATTGCTGAAGAGTCAATGAGTCGATGCAATCAGCTGGTTTTCCTTAGATAGAAAACTTTGAATCAATCTGACTGGATGATCTGGTGAACTGCAAAGTGACCTGAGATGACATGATGGGAATCGGAGCTATAGAAATAAACTGAATAGAAGCCACTGCATAGAAATGGGTCAGCTGGGCTGGATTGAATAAAGTCCCCATAATGGGATGTTTACTAAGCTCAGCCTAAGAACCTGCTGAAGGCAGTCCCAGGAACACCTGGACCCTCCCGAGGCTGAGGAGGGACGTCTGGAACACCTGCTAACGTGTTTGATCTGCAGAGCAGATCTTCATAGAAGGTGCAAAGCGATTTGTGTTTGCAAATAAGCTGACATGGTGTGCAAACCATTTTCCGCCTTCATCAATATGCCGATCATTTTCTTGTGATCAAACCTCCAAATGATCGATGGAGGAAATGGAGATATTGACGTTTAGCGTGTGCAAAACCATTAATCAATGAAACATTTCATTTTAAACACCGTCCTAAAAACCAAAGTCACCTCTAAAATGGATGGAAGTGTCTTTTGTTTTGTTTTGATGTTATTTGAACATAATAACTATAGTTTTTTTTTAATCTCTCAGACAGAATGAACACATTTCATTGTTTTCTAAATGAAGGAGCTTTCAGTTTTCTCAGCAGAAAGCACGGTAGTGGAAGCATGTCGTTCTACACTTTGAGCTCTTCTGGGTTCTTATATTGACAGAACTGGTTGAATTCCAGGTTTCCTTTGGACTAAAGCAGGTTTTCAACTAATTGTTTTTACCAAAAATGAGTAAAGAAACAAAAGACCAGTTTTGTTTCTTTTTATGAATAAACATCTCACTTTTACTTTCCCAGTTTGAGAACTTTTGCTTCAGTGTTTTTCCTATCAGTCACTTTTACCAAAGTTATTTTCCGCAAAGGTATTTTTACTTAACAGTAGTTGTTATATGAAAACTTTATACATCTCTGCTTTAACCGTGTTTTACCATTGACCTTCATGTTGAAAAGCCTCAGTAGGTAAACGTGAGAATAAAAAATAACTAGTTTAATTGAAACTAACAGTTTTCTGTGTCTGCTGCAGTTTAGAATAAAATCAGCTTGTTCTTCATTTGGTAAAGCTAATATTGAGTGCCTCGGGGTTCCCCCAAGTGGCTGGGAGGAAGGACGCCTGGGCCTCTACTGAGGCTGCTACCCCTGCAACCCGACCCTGGATAAGAGGAAGAAGATGGATGGATGGATGATGAGAGGATGGATGGATGATGAGAGGATGGATGGATGATGAGAGGATGGATGGATGGATGGATGATGAGAGGATGGATGGATGATGGGAGGATGGATGATGGATGGATGATGGGAGGATGGATGGATGGATGATGGATGGATGATGGGAGGATGGATGGATGGATGATGGGAGGATGGATGAATGGATGATGGATGGAAGGATGATGGATGGATGATGAGAGGATGGATGGATGGATGATGGATGGATGGTTGGATGATGGGAGGATGGATGGATGGATGGATGATGGATGGATGGTTGGATGATGGATGATGGATGGATGGATGATGGATGGATGATGGATGGATGATGAGAGGATGGATGGATGGATGATGAGAGGATGGATGGATGATGAGAGGATGGATGGATGATGAGAGGATGGATGGATGGATGATGAGAGGATGGATGGATGATGAGAGGATGGATGGATGATGAGAGGATGGATGGATGGATGATGAGAGGATGGATGGATGATGAGAGGATGGATGGATGGATGATGAGAGGATGGATGGATGATGAGAGGATGGATGGATGGATGGATGATGAGAGGATGGATGGATGATGGGAGGATGGATGATGGATGGATGATGGGAGGATGGATGGATGGATGATGGATGGATGATGGGAGGATGGATGGATGGATGATGGGAGGATGGATGAATGGATGATGGATGGAAGGATGATGGATGGATGATGAGAGGATGGATGGATGGATGATGGATGGATGGTTGGATGATGGGAGGATGGATGGATGGATGGATGATGGATGGATGGTTGGATGATGGATGATGGATGGATGGATGATGGATGGATGATGGATGGATGAGGAGAGGATGGATGGATGGATGGATGGTTGGATGATGGGAGGATGGATGGATGGATGATGGATGGATGGATGATGAGAGGATGGATGATGAGAGGATGGATGGATGGATGATGGATGGATGGATGATGAGAGGATGGATGGATGATGGATGGATGATGGGAGGATGGATGGATGATGGATGGATGGATGATGGATGGATGATGGGAGGATGGATGGATGGATGATGGATGGATGATGGGAGGATGGATGGATGATGGGAGGATGGATGATGGATGGATGGATGATGAGAGGATGGATGGATGGATGGTTGGATGATGGGAGGATGGATGGATGGATGATGGATGGATGGATGATGGATGGATGGATGATGAGAGGATGGATGGATGATGAGAGGATGGATGGATGATGGGAGGATGGATGGATGATGGATGGATGGATGATGGATGGATGATGGGAGGATGGATGATGGATGGATGATGGGAGGATGGATGGATGATGGATGGATGATGGGAGGATGGATGGATGGATGATGGGAGGATGGATGAATGGATGATGGATGGAAGGATGATGGATGGATGATGAGAGGATGGATGGATGGATGATGGATGGAAGGATGATGGATGGATGATGAGAGGATGGATGGATGGATGGATGATGGATGGTTGGATGATGGGAGGATGGATGATGGATGGATGGATGATGGATGGATGATGAGAGGATGGATGGATGGATGGTTGGATGATGGGAGGATGGATGGATGATGGGAGGATGGATGAATGGATGATGGATGGAAGGATGATGGATGGATGATGAGAGGATGGATGGATGGATGGATGATGGATGGTTGGATGATGGGAGGATGGATGATGGATGGATGGATGATGGATGGATGATGAGAGGATGGATGGATGGATGGTTGGATGATGGGAGGATGGATGGATGATGGGAGGATGGATGAATGGATGATGGATGGAAGGATGATGGATGGATGATGAGAGGATGGATGGATGGATGGTTGGATGATGGGAGGATGGATGGATGATGGGAGGATGGATGGATGATGGATGGATGGTTGGATGATGGGAGGATGGATGGATGGATGATGGATGGATGATGGATGGATGGATGAAGGATGATGGGAGGATGGATGGATGGATGGATGATGAGAGGATGGATGGATGGATGGTTGGATGATGGGAGGATGGATGGATGGATGATGGATGGATGATGAGAGGATGGATGGATGATGGAAGGATGGTTGATGGATGGATGGATGATGGATGGATGGATGATGAGAGGATGGATGGATGATGGATGGTTGGATGATGGGAGGATGGATGGATGGATGATGGATGGATGATGAGAGGATGGATGGATGATGGAAGGATGGTTGATGGATGGATGGATGATGAGAGGATGGTTGATGGATGGATGGATGATGAGAGGATGGATGATGGATGGATGATGAGAGGATGGATGATGGATGGATGGATGATGAGAGGATGGATGGATGATGAGAGGATGGATGATGGATGGATGATGGGAGGATGGATGGATGATGAGAGGATGGATGATGGGAGGATGGATGATGGATGGATGGATGATGAGAGGATGGATGATGGGAGGATGGATGATGGATGGATGGATAATGGGAGGATGGATGGATGGATGATGGATGGATGATGGATGGATGGATGATGGGAGGATGGATGATGGGAGGATGGATGATGGATGGATGATGGATGGATAATGGATGGATGGATGGATGGATGATGGATGGATAATGGGAGGATGGATGGATGGATGATGGATGGATGGATGATGGATGGATGATGGATGGATGGATGATGGATGGATGGATAATGGGAGGATGGATGGATGGATGATGGATGGATGGATGATGGATGGATGGATGATGGATGGATGGATAATGGGAGGATGGATGGATGGATGATGGATGGATGGATGATGGATGGATGATGGATGGATGGTGGATGGATGGATGGATAATGGGAGGATGGATGGATGATGGATGGATGATGGATGGATGATGGGAGGATGGATGGATGATGGATGGATAATGGGAGGATGGATGGATGGATGATGGATGGATGGATGATGGATGGATGATGGATGGATGGATGGATGGGAGGATGGATGGATGATGGATGGATGATGGGTGGATGGATGGATGATGGATGGATAATGGGAGGATGGATGGATGGATGATGGATGGATGGATGGATGGATGATGGATGGATGATGGGAGGATGGATGGGAGGATGGATGGATGATGGATGGATGATGGGTGGATGGATGGATGATGGATGGATAATGGGAGGATGGATGGATGGATGATGGATGGATGGATGATGGATGGATGATGGATGGATGGATGATGGATGGATGGATAATGGGAGGATGGATGGATGGATGATGGATGGATGATGGATGGATGATGGGAGGATGGATGGGAGGATGGATGATGGATGGATGGATGATGGGAGGATGGATGGGAGGATGGATGATCCATCCTTTAACTGGTCTCTAATTTCAGCACCAGATCTGTTCCCTAATCCAAGTTTATAAGAAAAGCTCCAATAACATCTGGACAGAACATCTGTTTTGTTAATATTTTATCAAAATCATTTACAAAATTGTTATAAAGGAGAAGAAAACAGACCCAGAGAAATAAAACAATAAAAACTGAGAAGCTAAATACGAGCACACATTCTGAAAAATAGAAAACATTTAGGAATCTTAGTGTTAAACCATCGTTAATTAAACACGTCTTCAACCATGAATATACAGCTTTATATTAGGGAGGCGGTTAAGGAGAACCATCAACCATCTACTGACGCCACATTCCAGGACCTAAGGTCGGGTCACATTTGATGGAAAGCTGTAATAAATAAAGCCCAGTGCATGTGTGCGTGTTATGAGTAGAAGGTGAGGACGCTCTGGTGGTTTCCTCGGACCAGCAGCAGTGGGGGGAGGTCTTTGGACAGTGTCTCCAACCAGCACATGTAGAGGGCGCTGGACACCGTGCCCTTCCTGGCCAAAGGCATGCTCCTGTTCACACAGACAAGACAACATCAGTGCAATTTAGGAAGAAAATACATTTTTCTTTCATTTTGTATGGAGGATAAAAAGTGCCAAAATTAAATAAATAATTTTGGCACTTTTACAGCGATAAACAATTAATTAAATGTGTAATTCATTAAATAAATAAGGAATTAAATATATAAATGTGTCATTAATTTAATAAAAATATGTCTTCATTTTATTAAAAAAATATATATAATTATTTTGGTGTGCATTTAATTATTTCATGGTCCTGTGTCGCAGTGCATCGAAACCATTAAAAGAATCTGTCAAACTCACCCATCAAAGTTAGGGGGCGGTTATCTAACACCTGATTGGTCACCCTGCACATTAAGGCGAAGCAAATCGATTACAGAGACTCGATTCGCGTTAACCCCGCCCCCTAACTTTGATGGGTGAGTTTGACAGATTCTGTTAATGGTTTCGATGCACTGCGACACAGGACCATGAAATAATTAAATGCACACTGAAATAATTATATATATTTTTTTAATAAAATGAAGACGTATTTTATTAAATTAATGACACATTTACATATTTAATTCCTTATTTATTTAATGAATTACACATTTAATTAATTGTTTATCGCTGTCTTTATTTAATTTTGGCACTTTATATTAGTGACGTGGTTTTAATTAATAAATGACACATTTATTTATTTAATTCCACATTTAATTATTTATTTAATGCTGTATTTATTTATTTAATTTTTACACTTTTTATCCTCCATAACTTTGAGGTCACAGGCTTGTGTTTGTTTCTGTTCATGTTTCTGCCAAGGAGGTGAAGGACTGAAGGTTCTTACACCACGATCAGCTTGGCGGTGCTGGAGTGTTCCTTCAGCAGCTCGTTCAGTCGGATCTGACGGTTGGTCTGGAAGGAAAATCAGGAATTGATCAGAGCGGCGCCAATAAATCCAGCTGCCGATCAGCTGCCAGTGAGCAGAGGGAAAGTCAAACCTTGGCTTTGTAGAGCTCCAGCTCGTTGTCGGTGATCCTCCACGGCTCCTGAGCCTTCAGCCTCTCCGCCGCCTCCTGCTCCATGTCGTCCTCCTTCAGCCTGTACGGCTCGATCAGCTCCTTAAAGCTCAGCTTACTGTCAGAGGAAGAAGAAGAGCTGCATGAAAGCATGACTCAGCACATTCAGACCTCCTCCAGGCTGAAACACATGAAACAGGAATGCTTAAAGGAGTAAAGGAACTAAAACAGCTAAGAAAAGATGAAAAAGGCTCTGGAGGCTTTTCTCAGAGGAAAAGATGTTTTTGCTCTTCTCCCGACTGGTTTCGGCAAGAGTTTGATCTATCAATTGGCTCCTCTTCGTCGTCGCTCTGTTAGTACGTCATATGCTTCGTTGATCTGATTGGTTTATTTGGCCCGTCTATCACCAACATAGGCCAATCAGCTAACCAGTATTTTCGCCCCTTCCCAAAATTACTTCAATGGAAGGTTTCCAGATGGATATGCGGAGCACATCCATCTGGCGGAGTCAGGTTACTGTTTCCCCCCCAGGCCTGAATCTGGTGGTGGAGTGGAGATAGATGGAGTTGGTCAGTCTGTAGACTGATGGTCTGGGTAGACGGTCTGCTGAGCTTTATGGGGAGATCTAGTGGATCTACGTTCAAGCAATCAACGTCTCTTTATGCTAACATTGAGCTAAACATGGGAAAGTTTTTCTGAGACCTGAAACTAACCTCCATTAGACATCAACATGTTCATTAGGCCAAACAGGGGTGTGAAATGATGATGTCATCCATCAATTAACTCAATAAGGACACGCTGACGACATTCAGGGCCTTACTTGTGTTTTTTAGGTTTCACGTTGATATCTCCCAGAACGTTGATGTCAGAGAAGTCGATTCTGAACCTGCTGAGCAACGTGGCCATCCTGCAGAGACACAGACGGCAACGCGTTTCCCAAATAAACCCGGCCACTGTTGATTGGACAGAAGACGTGAGACGAGGACTCACGCTCGGCGGTCGTGGTCGATGCGGTTGATCTTTCCTCCGATGAAGACGCGGATCCTGCAGTCCCCCCATTTGCTCCTGTTGGTCAGCAGGTAGGGGATCAGCAGAGTCAGACCTGCAGAAAAACACAACCCAACCCCATGGATTTTATTTTCACGCATTTTATTGGTTTCCATCCGAGTTCTAACGTTTTTATTTTATTTTATGTTTGATCATTTGTAAAAGAATGAGGGAAACATTTAGTTAAAACAGCTAAACAGAAAGAACCTGATAAGGCTGAGTTAAATGGACTCTGTTTCTGATTCTATTCTATTCTGTTCTATTCTATTCTATTCTATTCTATTCTATTCATAACTCAGGAATAATCAGCTGAAGTTTTTGTATGGAGGACTGACTCTCTAGGACACGCCCCCTCCTCATTTGCATAATGAGGCAGAAATGTAAAAATGGCAGAAATAAATTGCGGCAAAGAAATAACTAAGGTAAAAAAATACAAAGGAAGAATAAAACAGACAAAAATATTATAACATGCACATAAATAAATACTTAAAAATATAAGTTATTAAAAAATAAAGTTGAAGATTATAAAGGAAAAAAAATAAATGAGGTAAATATTACAAAGGCAAATAAATAAAGAAGCTGATTAAAAGAGTTTTATACATTTATATCTGAATGTATAAATTAATTCCTAATTACATTTATTTGTTTATTGTATTTTTGGTGGCAATTAATTGTATCCTTATTTATTTATTGAGCATTTATTTATTTATGTATTTATTTTTATATATGGCAGAGTTGGTCCTCCATATTTTTGTGCCATTAGGCTTAATTTAAATTTACTTTTGCACATAATTTGAATGACGCTCATATTAAGCCATCTCAATCTGGATTAAAAATTATTCAAGCAAATGTTTGAAACCCATCCGTATGACACTATTCACTCAAATTTCACTTTTTCCTTAAATCATAGAGAAAAAAAAGCAAATTAAACAACTAGAGCTTTCAAATATGAATAACATAAACAAAACAGGAAAATTATTCCAAAAAAAATTAAAAAAACTATTTTCGTTTCTCTTCCATCCAGGAAGCTTTTTTAATTGAAAATGTCAGAAATAGCGTTTAGTTCCAGGTTTTATCCAGCAGCCCAACAAAGCCTGGTTTTAGTTTAGAAAACATGCAGATTAAACCAGATACCTGCACTGCAAAACTTTTAAATCTAAATAAGTTATTGTGTTCTTAGAATAAGTGCATTTTTTCTTCAAATGATTAGCTTAGTGTGAAACTTGGCCAATGGAATAAGACAATTTACATTTAAGATAAGAAATAAACTTTTTTATTGTCTTATTTCAAGCGCATATTGTCTAATTACCTTATTTTAAAGTAAAAATACTAATTTTGTTGACATCATCTTATTTACCTATTCAAATTAACAGTAAATACACGCAATTTAAGACATTTTTACTTATTTCTAGACCATTTTTGCAGTGAGTCTATGTCTCTAAAAAGGGGGGTCGTTAAAGGGAACTGTTAGCCTAGCTGAACGGGCGGGGTCAACAATTCCCTTTAACGACCCCCATTCCAAAGGGGGGGACCCGTTCATCCGTTTCTATTTGCATGTTTTCTAAACTAAAACCAGGCTTTGTTGGGCTGCTGGATAAAACCTGGAACTAAACGCTATTTCTGACATTTTGAATTGAAAAAACTTCCTGGATGGAAGAGAAACGTCTTCAAACCTGGAAACAAAGTCCAGTGGATTGATTTTATCTTTTTTTAAATGACTATGACCTGGATGACTGAGAATACTACAGGAAAATCAGAATGCCAGAGCAAAATAGAGAGAGGATGTAGAAGAAACATTCCTAAATATTAAACTGGATTAACAGGCATATAGAGAAAAGGTGTTTGCTGGATCTTATAAGGTAACTGGTTTCATAGAGTCGGTGCAATGACAGAACCGTTTGTATTTAGAAGGATTAATAAAACCTAAAATCATCTCTGATCCAAAAAACGCGACATCAGTTGCTTTATTGCTGAGCTATAAGAGATTTATTTGTTTCTTAATTTAGGGAATACATCAAAGTGGATGCAGAGGAATCAGTTTTTGTTTGAGTTGCACCAGAAGGTTCTGCAGCATTTTAGGAGAATCAAACCGAATGGGAGAAGATCAGGGGGCCAAGAACAGAGCCCTGAGGTACGGAAGAGGAGAAGGGCCACTGGAAAAATAAAAAAAGTTAACTGATTTTTTAATTTTATTTCAATAAAATATGAGAAAAAAGTTAGAATTCTGACTGAATTTTGACAGCTAACAAACATGTTAGCATCAATTTAGTCAGAATTCTGAGATTAAAGTCAGAATTCTGAGAAAAAAAATCTAAATTCTGAGATTAGAGAGAATTCTGAGATTAAATTTAGAATTCTGACTTTTTTCTCACATTAAACTGAAAAAAAAAAAAAAAAAAATCAGTCCTAGTGTCCCTAATCCTCTTCCGTACTGAGGCACTGCAAATGAGAGAAAAACAGGTTCTCACAACCTGATAAAACCAGATCTAGAATATCTACCAACAGAACCAGAACACTGAACAGCTTCTGAGGCCCCTAGAGGTTTTTACTGGAACTTCTATTGTATTTTATTTTTATTTTAAAGGTCCAGAAGAAACCAGACCATGAAAACTGACCTCCGTCGTCAAACAGCCACCAGACGTCGATGGTTCCTTTCCCTTGTTTCTTCTTAAACATCTGGCTGCTCTCCAGAAGACGCTGGTCGGTCAGACTCAGAGGACTCTTGGTCTCTGTGGCTGGAAAACGACACGTTAAGCTCTAGAATCAAACAGAGAGGATCTGGGGCTGCAGGTTTTCATCCACCTCTTATGATGAGCGGGCTGCTCTGGTTGCTGTGGGTTTTCGACGGACAGGAATCCGAGTCCGAGTCTTTCGCTGGACTGATGGGAATCAGAACATCTTTACTTTCCTTTGGTGGTTTCTCACTCGGCGACAGCAGCTCGTCTAAAGGAAAAAACAACAAAGGAAACCATCTTTGTTTCAGTCATTTGCTTCGTTTTTCCCTTTCCTTATGAAGCCATGTTTCAATCTGAGGTTGAATTTAGGAAAACTGCATCGAACAAAAACAACCTCAAAGTTCAAAATTATGTTTTGTCTGTTTTTGATGCGTTGTTATGGAAGCCAGGGGCAGATTTAGGAAATGTGGGGCCCTAGGCAAAGACAGGCAGGGGGCCCTCTGAATTGACAAAACATAAACAGACCCATTCTAGAGATAGATAAATGTTAATAGAATAGACATCCATTATCTGTTCTAGGTTGTGTCCCTCTCTTCTTGTCCCTTTTCTTCTTGTTTTCCTCTCTATGTTTTGTACTCAGCTGACTTTTCATGCTGTCTCTAAAGGAATGAAAGATTTTTTCCAAGCACTAAGCTCACTTAGCTGATTGCTCCTTCCTGTGTTTCTAAAAAAGCCAAAGTAAATAACCCAGTCCTTCTTTTCACTGTAGACAAGCCATGATCTGCTTATCTGTTCTCCATTTTTCATTTGGATGAAATAATAGCTGCATGAATCATGACAGCAGACAAGATAGAGGAGAGCAGGAGGCGGGGTTACCAATCTACTCGCTCTGGAGAGCAGAGTTCGCTGCTTTTAGATGTTGTCTCCAAAGTCTCCAGTAGCAGAAAAAAGTCTCTAGATTTGGCGCTAGGAGCTTTTTAGAAATCAAAGTGCTAGAGGGGTCTGAAAAGTGGCTAAATATAGCGACTAAAGCGCTAAGTTAGCAACACTGCTCTTTGCATGGTTTGCTTTCAAATGGTTTGCTGCTGTCTGTTTGGACCTTTCTGAACATGTGCAGCAAATGGACTGATCCAATATGGTGGACACTGAAGGGGGGGGGGCTGAGACACACTTAATATTATCAGCGTTCTGATGGCATTTTAGCCAAAGGATTTTATCAAAAACATAAATTAATGTGCAGAAATAAGTGATAGTATTAACCATGTATTAACCATACATGTAAACAGAGTTTTATGGGGCCCCCAGGAATGGGAACCCCCCCCCCCCCCCCCCCCCCCCGACGGAAGTTTATTGCTTTCACCAAAGGAAAAAAAAAAATCAGACAGCTTATCTCATAGTAACGAGATACTGATCAAACTAAAACTAATTCCATCCACATTGAGGAAACTCAGTATTTCCCAGTGTCGCAAACCTAAAAGGAAATAAAAGCAGGTTAAATCTGACAACCCACTCATTGTTCATGTTTCATGTAGCGTAGCGATGACTGAATCCCTGATTTCCCAAATATAACATATAATCTGGTAATTATGAGATCTTATCTCGTAATTATGAGATAAGCTGTTAAGGTTCTGGGTTCGATTCCTGGTCCAGGGTCTTTCTGCATGGAGTCTGCATGTTCTCCCTGAGCATGTGTGGGTTCTCTCAGGGTGCTCCAGCTTCCTCCCACAGTCCAAAAACATGACTGGTAGGTTAATTGGCTTCTCTAAATCCTGCTTAAGTGTGAGTGAATGGTCGTTTGTCCTGTTTGTCTCCGTGTTGCCCTGCGATGGACTGGCGACCTGTCCGGGGTGGACCCCGCCTCTCGCCGTAGACATCTGGAGATAAACACCAGCAGCCCTCACGATTGGGATAAATGGATGGATGAAAGGAAGGAGGGAAGGAGTGTGCTTCCAAATGTAGAATACTTGAAAAATGAGAAAGAGATGATGAATGTATTTTTATGACATCTAAACACCCAGCACCTTGTCCTGGAATGTGAGAGATGTCCAGTCCGTCCATCAGCCTGAGGATCACCACTCCAAACTGCAGGTCGAAGGCGTCACTGCAAAGAAGAAAAGCCTCTTAATCAGAACGTCAACCTGATGAGGCTAAAAAGTTTCTCCTCTCATCCAAGGACCTTCTTCAGTTCTAACTATTGGTGGGTGCACTGAGATTAATATATTTTAGGTGGAACCAAGATATGGGGGAAACATTTCACAGGCACATGGCTCAACACAGGAGGGCAAATCCTCAGGAGAGCCCTCAGCTGTTCATCTACACCTGTTGGAGGGCAACAACATCCATATCATGACCAAGGAAGACAGATTTCCTAACCTGGAAAAACCGTCTCTCAACAGAGGAGTTGGTTTCAGACTTTCACCTAGTAATACACTCTGCAATATTTTCAATCTTTGCACGCAGCTACAGCTCAAACTATGACAAAACGGCAGGGTTTAAAAGTTCACAGCACGTTCCCACACTGTGCGATCCGAAGCTCTGATGCGATCTACCTGCTCACACTGTACGTCCAAAAAAACACTTCGTACTCAGCGGCGAGAGATGGCGCTGGTCGGACTCGTCAATCTGACAGAAGAAGAAGCTCTGCTCGTAGCTCTGCTTCAACAGCAGGATTTGCACCTTGAACGCCTTTGGACGGCCGACTGAATTTCAAACATGTTTGATTTTCTCCCGACCTTATTTATTCCTGATGGGGAGGAGGTCATGAGGTCAATCACCCCTCGTTGTTCCCTGTACGCTACACGACCCAGGACGAACCATGAGGCGGAAACTCGGCCCGATCAAAAAAATTCTTGAACGACTGAAAAATCATCTCAAAATAGGTCAAAAACTGTCGGGTATGTCAGGCTCTGCAAAGCACTTTTTATATTTTTAAATTATAAAATTTTTACCTTTAAAATTTTTGTTCTTGGATTTTTCATGACTTCAACACCGTCTACTTAGCAGACAACACATTACAAACATATACAGCCTGATAATCCAGGAACATTTATCGCTGCATTGAATTGTTTCCAGTATCACAGTGGAAATGTTGCTGAAGTGGTAAAGATGGCTTCATAAACAACATCGTAAAGATGAACGACCCTCATTATTAAACATGCATTACCAGTTATCAATGTGTATTAACAATGAAGTTGTTATGATGTGTTTAGTTTCCCCTACTCAGAGATGGGAAGTAACGAAGTACAAATACTTCGTTACTGTACTCAAGTAGATTTTTCTGATATTTTTACTTTACTACTTATTTTTATGGCGACTTTTTACTTCTACTCCTTACATGTTTACACAAATATCTGTACTTTCTACTCCTTACATTTTAAAAATTTGGCTCGTTACTTTAGCTTTGAATCATTTCAATGGAGTTACCGTTATTATTTTTCTCGTCATCAATACCAAATTCAATCTAATTGGATGGGAATCTACGTTGCATTTGACGCACCACTACAAGATGAATCGACAGATTCGGCGGTATTCATTGGCGGCAAATCATTGCAGCTTGGTGGCGGTGGCGTTAGCATAGTAGCATGGACGACGAGATGATTGAAAATGAACACAACGGAGATCTAGTCCTATTGGCAGACATCCATTGAAAATGTAGGCAACGGCATGAAAAAAGTGGTTTCTACTTTTACTTTTAGACTTTAAGTAAATTTACAAGCCTGTACTTTGTTACTTTTACTTGAGTAAAGAAGTTTAATCAGTACTTCCACTTTTACCAGAGTATTTTTTAACACAAGTATCTGTACTTTTACTCAAGTACGGAAAGTGAGTAGTTTTGCCATCTCTGCCCCTACTAGTATATTAATCTCAGCCTCTCGGATGAGAGGCGAAACTTCATGTCCAGTTTCCTAAATTGAACCTTTCGAGTTTGAACCTGACCGGGGTGACTAAGAATCTTCACTGATATGCTAACCTGATGAGGTTTTACTGTAAGTTTTACAACAAGACTTGTTTTAGAAATGAGATAGAAGGAGTATAACTGGTTTATGTATTAGAAGGACCTGAATTATTCGATACAGAAGAAGGAAGACGATTATTTTTTGTATTCTAAGTCGCAAAAGGAGAATAGCTGGAAAAAGAAGCAGCAGGTCCGACAGATGAAGCATCCATCCTGAGGCTACTGCCCCCCAGATACGAACTCATTTATGATCCATCAGTGGATGCATATTAATCTATTTAGGGGGGAGTTCACTGAGAGGCGGATCAGTTCTCACTGGATGGTGTTGATGTAATTCTCCACGTCTCTCATGTTTCCGTCACTCCAGTTGTTTTTGAAACCCATGACCAGCGTGTTGGGCTTCAGACGACCCAGACCCACCGCCTGAAGAGAAGAGGTCAGCATCAGGAGACGACCTTTTTATCTGGAGGCAGGAAATCATCACCCAGACGTACCTGAAGGAGCAGCTGCGCCCCAACCCGCATGTTGTCTGCAAAAACGGGAGCATAAAAGGCTTTGATCCGTTTTTTAATCAGCCAGCGCCGACACCGGAGGTAATCCTGGGAGAGCTCCTTCTGGTTGGGCCGACGGGAAACCTTCAGGAGGAAAAGAGAGCGGCTGAAGGAAACGTCCGATCGGCTCATTCCTGCAGGGGATCCTGCTGCATACCGTTCTGACGTGACCGCAGACCATGAGGCTGACGTTCTTGGTGAAGGAATGGACCAACTGCAGCAGCGCCGGGCGGGAATTTGGATAACCAGCCAGAACCAAACACTGCGGCCTAAAAAAAAAAAAAAAATAGATCAGGATTTATTTCCTTTACTATCTGATCTGGACCCAGAGAGTAAAGCTAAAAGATTATTGGATTTGGAAAAGGAAACTCATCAGAAAATGTTTCAATCTTTCACAAAACGTAGTTTTTGTGTAAATCTGTAAGAGTTCTGAAAAAAAGACCTGAAGTTTTTGACATGGTCCTCGACGGTGGAGAGGTTGAGGCAGTGCGTCAGCGCCTGGTTGTAGATCAGAGCCTGAGTGGAGGAACCCCAGTTCACATCTATGGAGAACAACAGGTCAGCAGATGGAGGCGTTTGATTGGACGGCAGTGAAGTAACCAGGCACTACTGCTGGGAACCGTTAGCAGGACCAACGGGTCCACAGAGGGACTGCATGGGGGTCCCGAAAGTTTTGGTTGATTAGAATTTTTTTATGCAAATTTTTCCACTAATTGAAATGTCTTTAAATCATCATTAATACGAATTCAACACACTTTAGTAAACAGATAAATGGAGGCAGAAGATGTCTTTCACTCATCGATGCCAGTGGTGGTTCTAGACCAAATGTACCAGGGGTACATTTGGGGAGGGGTCCAAAAAAAAACAAACAAGGGATTCAAATTTATTAAGAGAGCTGCATGAAGTGAAGATTCTATTCAATTGGGTTTAATTCAAATTCTATTTCTTATTAGATCTATAAACAGGAATTAGGAATGGTACATATTTTTGATTTTAAGTTAAAATGACAGTTTTCTCTAAATCTGAAGAAAAACTGTTAAATTCAACCGTAAAATTAGAGCAATTTGTTTTGAACAAAACATTTAGCAGATGAAAACTGGGATCCTATCTCAGCACCACTGAAGCTGTCAGCCTATTGTTTTTAAATAATTAGTAAAACAGAATTTGTAAAGAAAATAATGAAATAGATCCAAAGGACCAATCAGTAACCATGTCTGTTCCAGCGCAGATCATCATTAGAGCTTCTTTGAGTATTATGGCTTCACTACAGGGGCCAGGACATGATCTACAGGGGCTCTGGCCCCTGTAGATCATGTCTAGAACCGCCCATGATCAACGCACACATTCAGCGACACACAGGAGCTCTTTCAAGCTGGGCCCCGTTTCATTCACAACACCTGTCCCATCAACCAGGAATCAGAAATACTTTAATAATCCCAGGGAGGGATTACTTTAGTTACATTACTCCATCTGTAATAGAGTGACTATAGGACCAGTTTGATAGAATATATATAATTAGGGGCCCCGCTCCATCAGTTTGGGGGTCCTTGGCCTGGAAAACGTTGAAGATCCCTGCAGACAGAAAGCTACTGGGAAACCTCAGCAGCAGGTTTAAGGTGACGAGGCAGGAAATAACTTTATAAATATCTATGGGAGGCTGAATGTAAAACTTTAACAAAATGTCACTGTTACATTTAGAGCAATATCTTCACATTCAGTGTTTTTATTCTTTTACAGGCAAAACTCTCAATATAAATGCTTAAACTTAAGCAAAAAACAAGTCTAAAATTATACTTGAAATCTATTAATACATCATTATTATTATATATGCACTTTATATTTATATGTAAATGTTAAATAAAATTTTTAATTTACATTTTTTAACTAAATATATATTAGAAATCTTAAATTTAAATGTTTAATTTAAATATTTATTCAGCAAGTTATATTCATCTTTATAAGTTAATTGGCCGCTCTTTAATGTTGGGCTGGACCCTTACGGAGGCTCCTCTTCTTATTGGTGCTCCTTTATGTTGGGGGCGTGGCCAGAATGGATCCTTTAAAGGGGCGTGGTTTATTAGCACATTTTCTAAATATTTGAGTTTGAGATTTAAATTATAAATTTAAGATTTATATTTAGATTAAAAAAATGATTTAAACATACATATATATATATATATACATACACATATATATATATATACATATATACATACACATATATATATATATATATATATATATATATATATACACACATACACATATATATATATATTTATATATTTTTATATATATTTTAATAATAAAATTTAAATAATGAAAAAAAATAGATTTAAGAAATATTTGGATTTTAACATTTTACATTTATTAAACAAAAAACAATTTACATTAGGTTTGATATTTAGGATATATATTTAGATGTAAAATACCAGATATAGATTTAGATATAAACATGATTTAGGTATAAAAATAAAAAATATGCTATGCATTTATATTTGGGATCGACCATTTTAAGCACTAAAACTGAAGATTGTATCAAATAGCAGAAATATGATGCTGAAAATTGTTTAGCTAAATGTTCATATTCGGAGTTCCATTAGTAATTCGTAGCGAAAAGAGAATCGATTGACATCGGAGCTTCTGGTTCTCCATCTTGTTCTCACCTGGTTTTTTGTAGCTGACGTAGATGTAGAGGGCGAGGATGATGAGCAGGGTGACGAGGGCCGCCCACCAGTTGATGACGAACATCACAACGCAGCACAGGATGGCCCCGGCCAGAGAGACCCACATGTTGTAGTATTTGAAGCTTGGGCGCCACCCTGTGAAGAAACACAGCCAATCAGAGAGGGTTTTAGTTGGTTTTATTGAACGCATTTATGTCCCAACAACAAGGCAGACAGAATAACAGATCGACTGAAAGGATCCAAATGGGAAAAGATTGGTTCTGTTTCTCAGGGTTTACCTGGAGAGTTGGCCAATGAGGCGTGGAAGACGGAGAAGTTGATGAGAGCATAAGAGGCCAGGAAGAAGTTGGAGATGATTGGAGCGATGACGTTCAGCTCGGCTGATCGGACACAGATAACAACGTTCATCACCTTTATTATGGTTATTTATTATTCGTTTTTTACTGAAGGGTTTATGCTGCTCTTCCCACCGATGAGGATGAAAGCCAAGCCGATGCAGAAGGTCAGGACGTATCCTCGCAGAGGCTCGTTGTTTTTACCGTAGCCCTTCGCAAAGATTCCCAATCCAGGATAGATGTTGTCCTTACAGAGAGCCTGGAGATCAGACAGCTTGTGGTTACATTCAGAGGAGGCCTGTTTCAGAAGGACACTTTAGACCAGGCATCTCCAAAGTGGGTCCTGGGGGGCCGCTGTCCTGCAGGTTTTAGAGGTTCCCTGCTCCAGCACAGCTTATTTTAATTGAAAGCTGATTAACGGGCTTTTTCTGAACTGCAATCAGAGTCAGCTGTGCTAAAGCAGGGAAACCTCTAAAACCTGCAGGACAGCGGCCCTCCAGGACCCACATGGTTGATTAATTCCAGTTCCTGTGGGCCGGTATCCTGCAACTAGTGATGGTGAGATGGAGCCTCAAGAGGCATTGAACCGTTTGGCCAAATTGCTTCATCGATGTCACCACCTACTGGTGGACTGCAGAACTACAGTTAGTAATATAATCTGGAATTTTTTGCAATTATTTTTCTTTTTTTCTCCCTTTTAAGTTTCTTTGTTAATGATTTGTGTGTATAATAAAAAGTGTAAAACATCTTAGAAGAGAGCAACCATTTAAGGTTTTAGTCAAATAAACTCAAGCACACAGTGGAAGTGATTGTGAAAATTGGGCAATGATGAGAAAAATGAAAGGTTTTAGTCATTTTTATTCAAACATATTAGTTTTTCCACATTTTTTTGGTTTTAATTGGGTTGGGAGTTATGTGTTCAACTAATCTTTTGGCTAAACCATCCAATCTAATTTCGCAGTGTTTTTACCCAATCTATATTTGTACAAGGGCAAAAATGCTCTAAGATAGCAATGCTAGCATATCTATGGTGACCAGATTTGGGTTTCTGAAATGGAGGACACTTTTTTGGGGGGGTTTCTGGTCCGCTGACTGGACTGGACGGGCCCCAGAAAGGGGCGGAGTGACCAAACCTGACCCGGTGACGGGATGCTTCCCCCTACCTGCCTTACCGTACTTCCACCGTTGTCCAGCCTACCGTCACCGGGTCGGGTTTGGTCACTCCGTTCCACGCAGGCTAGGTAGTAGACCAAAATCCCGGACGATTTTGAAATTTTCCCAAACATTTTTTAAAGTATGAAAAGTAGGACATGTCCGGGAAAAAGAGGGCGTCTGGTCCCCCTACCATATCAATAATCTAATGTTTCAGTGAGTGAGTGCTTGTTGCTATGATGCGTCTTTGCTCAGCAGCTTGGCTCGTTGTAAACAAACCAATCAGAGCACAGCTCATCTAAATATTCCTGATCAAACCATAGAAGGAAGAAAACCTGTGGTTTCATTCTAGGGCTTTTAACCAGGCTGCATAGGGCTCATAGAACAATGGAAAATAAATATAAAAAATACAGATTAAAGCCAATAAACTACAGAGAGTTTAGAAATAAAAAATAGAAAAGTAAAGATGCAAAATTATTAATATTTGATAGAAATAAAATCAAAGTTTGTGTTTTCTGACCTGGAAGACTTTGGGTGCGCTGACCAATGAGGCTAAAGCTGAAGACAAAGTAGCTGAAAATATCCCAGCAGAAATCAGAGGACCGAAGTACGACACCAGATTCATCACCTGCAATAAACAAACATTCAGCTCAACTAAGAACAGGACAGAGACTGAGACACACCTGGAGAACATCAAGGTCCTAAAACATCAAGATTTTAAAATGTACCAGAAGGAAACCAAAGGTGCTTCATGTCGACTCTAACAGGAATAAATGTGCTCTTTTTTACTTAATTTAGAATTTCTATAGAATGGGAGGCAGATCTTTTAGTTCTCAGGCTCCTCTCCTGTGGAACCAACTACCAGTTTTAGTCCGTGAGGCAGACACCCTGTCTACTTTTGAGGCTAGGCTTAAAACTTTCCTTTTTGATAAAGCTTCTAGTTAGAGTGGCTCAGGTTATCCTGAGCTATCTCTATAGTTCTGCTGCTATAGGCTTAGACTGCTGGAGGACATAGGGACCCCTTTTTCATCATTCTGCTTCATTCTATCTCTATTCTCCCACTCTGCAGAATCTGTTAGTTCAATCTCTAACGTTCTGCTCTCTCTGTTTTTTCTCATAGTAGCTTCATCTGGTCTGTTCCTGTTTGGCTGTGACTCCATCCTGGAGAGAAATATCAGCTGTGCTGCTGCCATCAACACCTTTGTTTCTAGATGTTGGAGCTTGGCCTGTTTTCCAGTGTAGTCCTGTTTCTCTGACTGTGACTAACTGGATGTGCTCTCTTCATCCTCTGACATGGGAGCTGGCTCGGAGCTCGTCTGCCTGGCTGTGTGTCTCCTGGACGGGGCCGCCTGTCAACATATTCTCATTATCAGTTCGTTTGAAATCGTACGAAAAGTTATGCACAGTATTTCGTACGTTTTTGACGTTTTTCCTCGAAAAAACCGATCAGTGCGCAGCCAGATAGACAAAAAAAGCAGATCCGTGGACGGATGTAAAACTGGGAAAAACAGTGCAATAATTACTTCTTCATGTCTCTAACTAGGTTGCTTGATGTTTTGTATCTTAGGGTTAGGGTTAATTGTAGGTTGAATTCTATGTTATTTAATGGTGTGTAAGATGCACATGCGCAAGGATATCTTGTCTCGAGGCAAGACGTAAAAATACGAGGAAATACGACGAAAAAAACGTCAAAAACGTACCAAATTACTGTGCATAACTTTTCGTACGATTTCATACAAACTGATAATGAGAATACACTGCGCCTGTGGAGCTGGTTGACAGTTGCTTTTTGTATCTATGCTTCTTTTTCTATGTCTGCTTCTGTCTCCTTGAACCCCAGTGGGCCTCAGCAGATGGCCGCTCACACTGAGCCTGGTTCTGCTGGAGGTTTCTTCCTGTTCAAAGGGAGTGTTTCCTCTCCACTGTCGCTACAAGCATGCTTAGTGTGAGGGATTGCTGAAGAGTCAATGAGTCGATGCAATCAGCTGGTTTTCCTTCGATAGAAAACTTTGAACCAATCTACTTGATGATCTGGTGAACTGGAAAGAGCCTTGAGATGATGTGAACTGGTGCTATAGAAATAAACTGAATAGAATTGAGTTAATAAACCTTAAATCTGTTTAAAAGAAAATTTCAGTAATAGATGCAAAGAAGAAACAGTAATTCTGGATGTAGTCTGAAGGTTCTGGTCCTGTTAGCTTAAAAACAAACCTATCCTGAGGCTAAGGTCTGCTAAGAGTTAATGAGGTTCATCCTGTAATCTGATGCTCTGATGTATTACAGGTTCTGGTTCCGGTACATGATGGCGGGTCTCTCCAGGTTCTGCCTCTAAAGAGCCTGCTGTGTGTTGGTGCTCAGTGAGCCCGATGTGAGCAGAGGTGGAGGCCCTCAATGCTCTCATTCAGATCACAGCAGCAGGAATCTTGTGACTCAGAACAAGAGATGTTATTATCTCTGCGCTGCTCTCTGCATGATGCTGAGAACGGCTCTGATTCTGACACACAGTCTGAGGGCATCTACACCTCCTCCACCAGAGGAGCAGCATCGCTCCAACATCCTCTATGATCCAAACACGATCTTAGAAGGGATCAGGCTACAAACTTATGATAAAGTTGAACTCGGCGTAAGCGGAGCGCGTGGACGGCTGTGACGTGATTGGACGCAGTGTTTGGTCACCAGAACAGCAGAGAGAGTGGGTCTGTGGAGGAAACAATGGCTGTGGGTGTGATGATGCACGTCACTCTCTGGCCTTTACGGACACACATTCCCGAGCTCCGCTGACCCGCTGAGCTCTGATATCAGCCACGCACAGGATCCTCTCCCAGGATCATTCACTGGTTCCGGAGATGCTGATGTCATCAGAGCTTTACTGCGGTTTCAGCTTTTCCCTTATTACAACAACGTGTAAAAAAAGGTCAAGCTTTTCGGGGATATTTTACTTATTCTGTTAAATAACGTTTCTTCATAACAGATTAATATAATAAAAGAGATATAAAAAAGTTAAATAATGTTGTCTCTTTTTTTGTTTCAGAAAGTGAAACTCATCTCTCATGTTTGAGCTCATAGAGGGAAATCTTTCAATCCTTTTATTACTAAAAAATCCCAGTTTACAGATAATAAAAAATTAATAAATTGTGAATTGAAAAGTTGGAGAATTTCACCAGATCATATTATTCTCAGAAATGTCAGACTTCTGATTAGTGTGTATGAAGAGAAAGTTGCTCCAAAATTAAAAAGCAAAAAACGCATCAGAAAAATCTGTTTAAAAATTTTTAGATTTTTTTCCAAATGTAATTTTGTTAACTATTTTTTACACTTTTTTTTTTTTTTCATTGTTATTATATATATTTTTTTAGAGGGCAGACTGAGTTTTATGAATCCCATTTCTAATCCTGTTTTCCAGATTCCTCCCCAACTTCTCTGGGTGGACTGTTTGCCGACCAATAGGAATGTCCCGAGCAGACTCAATCCTATTGGTCGGCACACGAACCACCCAGAAGTGAAGAGGAGGAAATCTGCAAAGCATGTCGAAAATAATAGTTGAAAAAAAAACTTTAAAGATATAAAATCTGAAAAAATAAACTATAAAAACACTTTATTACTAACTGTGTTGAAGCTATTTATTCTTTATTTATTTATCCATTTTAATTGTCTTAATTTATTCCTAAATTTACATATTTTTTGTATTATTTACAGAGTTTATATGCAGGTTAATAATTTTTGGTTATATTTATCTTTGTTTTATTATTTTTCTTATTGATTTATTTTTTGTTCTGAGGTAAGACATGAAGTTATGTGGATCAGTCCATTTTCTATAAGGGGAGGGGCCTGGGAAGGGACCAGCAGGTATTTATGTTTTTTTACCAGAGCCAGAGAGGCAGCAGAAAGGGCAAAAGAAAGTTTGAACTCTGTAATTGTTGGCTGAAATAAAACAATCAACATTGGTTGATTGGCCCCTCCTATGATTGGCCCCCTTTGCTCTGAGGATTCCTTTGGGCAATCCCAGGATTTGGATCCCCCTGCGGTTGCTTTGGTGCTCTGTGGGGGCGGGTCTTTGACTCTTCACAACCACTATTGAGCATTTTTCCTTTGGATAAACTGCAAGTATACTCTCACAAGCAACTACAGCTGCTTGGTTCCAGGTACTTAGAGATTCACTTCAATCCAGAAAGCCCACATTCTTACCTTCAGCTACCACAGTATACTCTCTATATCTCCTTTCTATCTCCTCTTTCTTCCATCTTCTCTCCTTTTTTCTGTTTTCCCTTTCCTGTTCTACTTACATTGCTGTGTCTATATAATCTGTAAAACTCTGCATGAATTATAATAAAGCAATTTCTATGCATAAATCAAGCGTAACACTGTGGCGATAGCCGTACTGCTCCACTTGTGAAAGCAAAATCTGTTGGGCTCTTTTTTTTTTTTACAGTGTAAAAATAGATTGTCTTGATGCCAAAAAGAGAGCCAAACTCTTTTTGGCATGAAGACCATTATTCTTATTGCCACATCGCCAGACAGGACACTGTAAAAAAGTAAATTTACTAGACTGCTGATGTTGCCATGACAATGTAGCTTCTATGAACTTGTGTTGATTAGTCCTAAAAGTAATTACATCAAAATCCAAATACACTTAAAAGTAATTTTCAAATTATTCATAAGACATGTATAAATTGTGAAGTATTGCAAGTTTTTTTTAATAAAAAATTCTTAAGTCTCCCTCTTGCCACTTGGGGGTGCTGCAGCACATCCATTTCCCGCAGCCATGCACTAGGTCTGACACCAGCTCCCTGTTCACACTCCAGATCTGGGGAGGGAAGCACCCGAGCACCCCCTATGGGCCAGCCGCCACTGCTCCAGACTTTGGGTAGTCTACACCATGGCCTCCCAGTCTAATGCTAAGCTAACATGCGACCCAGACTCAGACCAGTTTAGAACCAATCCTGCTGATGGGAGATTTTTCTTACCTGGAAGTCGTTCATCAGGCCGTACTGGCAGCCTCCTTCCTTGCAGATGGAGAAGTCGTAGCCAAGCGTGCAAGCAGCGTCTGTGCAGTTCACTGTGTCGCTTACTGTGTCATTGTGGTCACCTGTTGCATCTCTGACAATACAGGAACCTGCAGCAGACGATGATGTTTACCAGAATGAAGCGAGTGAAGCATCGGACGGAAGCTGGTAGTTTATAAAGACCTGCAGAAATGGCGACGGCAACGTAGGTGATGCCTGTGATGAGGATGGCCAACAAGGTTCCCTTCGGGATGGCAGACTGAGGATCCTAATGCCAGAGACATAAAAGTCTTCATATTTAGTTACTAAACGGGACAATTTATTGGGTTTGGACAAATATTTTAAAGGACAATATACAGAAAAAGGACGAGTACAAAACCAGCGAGTAGTTTAAATGAGAAGCCCGCTCATATTCAATAATTGTTGTTGATTGCAGATGTGTCTAGTAGTTCCCATTGATTTAGCTTGTAAAGCGGGGAGAATGGCGCTAGGCTTACCGCACCGTGATGTCACTGCTGGAAGATGGCAGGAGGGAGGGGCTACTATATCTGGGTTAAAATGGCCGCTCCCAGACTCAGTGATCACAACGAAAATGATTGCTTTTTTTTATTGATTCATTCTAAATTCATTAAATCACTGCAAACATATTAGTTTTAGGTATAAATAATGACCCATTGGTTATTCCTTACTGACCAGACTTTTCCTTTAAGACCAATAATTAAATCTGACGGCGTATCTTTGGTGGGCCGGATGCAGAGCCTTGGAGCACACCAGATCACTATTTGGAAGACAGATCAGCTACGGTTGAAAAAAGATTGATGCATTCATTTTATGAGGAAAAAACTCACAGCCAGGTCCCCAGAGATGTTGGCTCCTGCTAGGATCCCAGTGGCAGCGGGGAAGAAAATCGCAAACACTGAAAAAAACGTCTCATCTTCTCTAAAGTCTGGACCGAAGTTCTCAAAGAGGATGGCAGCTGAGAAACAGAAAAAAAAAACATTTAAAATAATGATTTTTACAAAGAGATCAACCCAAAGAAGCACCAGAGGACAGTTAGGATGGAGGCTTACTGTGGTATCCAAAGAATCCTTTGGGCTCTTTGCTGTCGACTGTAATGAAGGTGCCTAAAAAGAAGTTAGCAATGGCCGCCAGCAGGATGACCAACAGGACAACCTGAGCCTGGAGGATCCAGAGAGAAGAAAAGATGGAAACTTAATCTCAGACTTTTACAGTAATAACAGCAAACTGTGTTAGCAGCTACAGGAAGTACTTTAAACAAAATATTTACACCTAATTACGCTTTATCTAAGGTAGAATTTATTCATCTAAACCCAAAGAATCAGCTTTTAGCTGATTTAGCTCCAACATGATCATGATCTACAGCTATAATATTCTTTTCATTTTGGCAAATTCTCGCCTATTTTGTATACCCAAATGGAAAATCAAATAACTGAGGAATAACTGTAAGCCCAAATTACACGTTTGATACATTATATACTATATATTATATACAAGGGCGCAGATAGCGTGTACGTCAGGGGTGTTCTGACGTACACAGATTCGAATGACCCTCAATCCGTCCCCCCCACTTTTATAAAAAAAAAAAAAAAACATATGGCGAAACTCACAGAAAATCAAAAAGCTTTTTCTAATTTACTGCTTTGCAACAACAACATAAAACAGTCAGATCATAGACGGGCAATCGTTTTGTTTAACTGCAGGCTGCCTGCGTCGTAGAGATTCAAATCTAAAAGTTATCCTGTCTCTGGCATTTACGTCTCGAGCCTGGTTTCCATGGTTACTCAGACAGACAGTAGTGGCGGGACAGTTCCCAATTCCGGAGTCCGGACATCAACATGAGGCCAGCCAAACCGAAAAAACAGAAAACAATTGCATCCTTTTTTCGAAAAGCACCAACTGTAAGTAAACTGTTCATTGCGGTATCATATCACCTTGCATTTTTTTGGTTGTCTGTTCGATGTCGCCGTGGAAAAAAGAGTGGAGACGGTCAGTGAGAATAGCGTGAAGAGAGGTGCCAATGTCATAAGGCGGGAGGCAGGGGGAATCGACTGGCATTTATTTATTTATAATTAAATCGACTGTTCCGACTTTTTCTGGAGTTGTTGGGGGTCTTTCAGAAATGTGTAGGCTACAGTAGGCTACTTGAATCCGTATTTATGCCAAGCCAAATGGTTTAGGTTGTTACAGGTTGAATCATGAGAAAAACGAACTTCAAAGCTAAACAAATTCCACTACACAGGGGCGGATTTTGGAAATTTTGGGCCCTAGGCAAAGACAGGCATGGGGCCTTCTGAATTGAGAAGACAACATATAGAACAGACCCATTATACAGATACAGAAATTTTAATAGAATAGAAATTTGAGGATGTCATGTATCTTCAAGTTTGTCTATGTCACTGTAACTCGGAGGAAAGAATCTCTCTCTCATATATATATATATATATATATATATATATATATACATATATATATATATACATATATATATATATATATATATACATATATATATACATATATATATATATATATATATATATATATATATATACATATATATATACATATATATATATATATATATATATATATATATATATACATATATATATACATATATATATATATATATATATATATATATATATATACATATATATATATATATATATATATACATATATATATATATATACATATATATATATATATATATATATATATATATATATATATATATATATATATATATATATATATATATAATGTGTTTGTGTGTATATATAAATAAATAAAAGGTGCATGTCACAGGAAAGACTAGTGATGTTACAAATATGACAATTGCTTAAACTACAGAACAGTAAATTCTTTAATCTATAATTAACGTGGCCCTTAACATCCCCAGCTGTACACAATAACACACATTAAAGCAATGTTAATACAAAGCTGTAAAGTAGAGTGAGACGTTGATAATAACTTCCTTATGTTTTTTGAATGTATAAATTTAATTATAAAGGACTAAAACACCTAAAACTTATGGGTGATTTTACAACATTTAAAAGCCTGAGATTTTACTGAAATTGGGGCTACTGGGGCTCACTGGCCTTAGATGTAATGAGCGAACTGGAAGTGCTGAATACATCGCTCCAAAAAAGCACCCAGACATTGGAGGGCATGGTCTCTGCAATCTCAGTTGTCCAAGAGAGATTACGGGACAAAAGAAAGCCAGCCCACTTTGAGGCAGTCTTTAAGGAAGCAGTGGATATGGCTGAGAAGCTGTCTCTAACACATAGGCCCCCAAAGAGATATTCTGGGCCAGCACCTGCACACAGGCCAGAATCTGCTGTGGAGTACCACAGAGTGGAGTTCTACAGAGTTCTTGACAAAGTAGACACACAACTTTCTTCATTTGAGGCCATTTATTGAAAAGCCATGTAAAGTACTTATTTACAAATTTGTTTTTGTATATATGTAGGCTTTGCTGTTCGTGTTTCTGTGTGTTTACAGCCTGCACTTAAAGTCAGTCCATGTTTAAATAAAACCTTTTTTTTTTCACACGTCATGTGGCATGTTTGGTGAGTACTTGGTACCAATACATGTTATTTTCTTGCAATGATGGGCAATTAAGCTTGATGGGTTGTCATAGCTGAGTAATAGCCAGTAATAGGGCTCAGGATCCACGTTGCATTGTGGGACGTCGCAGCCATATTGACTGCTACGCAAACGTAAGCATAGCTCTGACACAACGTTGTTGTTGAAAGAAGAGACAGAAGTAGAGAGAAAAAAGATGTTAAAATCCCGAAAAGGATCTGGAATTTACCGGGACACATTAAATAGAGAAGCCAGGGACCGGTATGGTGACAAAATCAGCATTGTTAATCATTTGGATCCATATAAAGTTCCAAACAATGAGTGGAGCACCGATGAGTGAGCGCCTATACTTCAAAACAGTTCCCAAGCTACAAGTCCCTGGAGTCTCATGTGCAGTTCATGAATGGATGGGTTCAGGAGCTGCAGATCATAAAGCCAGCAAACAGTGGGAACACAGTAATCCGTACGAAGGTAAGCTGTGATCAGAGGGGCTCTGGAACCTGCTAGTTTAGCAACTGCTAACCGCTAAGGCTAACAACCACTCACGCATGTAATGTACTTTTAACTAGCTGCTATGTGTTTCAAAGGTGTATTTAGTAACGTTAACTGCCAACCCTCCGGGTTTCTCGCGTATTTGAGCCTTTTCCCGCTGCCGTTTTTATTATTTTCCCGTAAAAGATCCCAACTTTGAAGGAAAGAAACACTGTAGGCTATAAAATAAAACCGTGCATCTTTAACTTACCAGAATGAAAATGCAGGGAACACACTCTCAATGACATTGGAATACTGTGGAAAGTTATGTTCGGTCGTCTTACAGCCGCGATCCAAGCTAGCCGACGACTCTTTATCTCTGACGCTTGGTCTCCATGGTTACGCCTCCAGTCAGGAAAGCGGTGGAAAGTTAACCCATTTTCTATGTTTCCATGGCGATCATGTGTTGAGCTGTTACAGCCCACAATACAGCAACGGTTTACCATGGTTGAAATCAAGTTAAGGTGAAATTAATCAAATTAAAACACGGCTGAGAGGGAGTACAGTACGCGGTAGTCATAGGCAGTAGTCTGAGCTGCTGTAAAAGACGCATTCAACATGGCGGCGACGCGAAGTGCTTACGTCACGATGACCAAGCCCTATAGTAACTGTCCCCCACAGTTTCAAAAACCTATCTGCGCCCCTGATTATATATATTTACATTTAAAAGCTAACACCTTGTAGTTTCTGGATATACATAAAGAATGGATGAGTAAAACACAGTCCAAGCTGCATCAGTTCAAACATGACTCAAAGTTGTTTTTTTTAATTCTCAAACATAATAGGTCATTTTTTAACAGCAGTAATAAAGACCTGCTTGCTTGTTGTTGCTGCTTTGTCATATTTACATTTATACATGCTGCTATTTCTGTGTTAATAGTGCTTTGTTGCTCGTTGTGTCCATAAAAAGAACTAAGTGGTTGATTTGTGGAAAATCTAAGCTTTCAAACAAGGTCTAAAATGTCTATATTGGTAAACATTTTGCTGGTGTAATTTTTATAAATTCATAAATTCTTAGTTATTAGCTTTAAAGAAAAACAACACTTTTTTGAGAGGATAAAAATGTAAAAAATGTATCCAAAGAAATAAAACTGCTTAAGCTCTGCTAAAATAATCAGATTTATAATAATGGATTTAGACACCCTTTACCTTCGCTGGATAAAAAACAAAAACAAACAGTACAGTTACATTATTTATTGCTGCAGACGTTTCTGACAGATATACCTTAGCTTCCCACTCCATCCCAGCAACAGAGATTCCCAGAAGCAGAATTATGGTCAGAGTCCCGACAATGCGGACGTCGTTCAGTTCATCAGTCATCAGAGCATCGACATCCTAAAACAGAACAACGGATGTTTATTTTTACTTTTAAGCTTCATCAGTTGGAGGTGCTGTCAATAAAAAAGGACATTTCTTACACTGAGCATCTCAACAACTGTCTCCGCAAAGCCTACGACATACATGGCCACGGCCACTGCGTTGGCGAAGGCAAAGATGAGACCAATAGATCCTCCAAACTCTGGACCCAGACTTCTGGAGATCAAGTAGTACGCTCCGCCTGCAAGCCAACAAAAGGTGAGCTTCATGTTTTAACAGGTGCATCTTCTGACTGTCGTTTTTCTGAGGAAAAGTAGAGTCAGTATTCAGCAACTATTTTCTGTGCAAAGCCTCTGACAGAAACTGTCAGGGTTCTGCCCTCTGCTTGAGTGTATTTTTTAGCTTGTTTGATTTTGGTGTCTTTTTAGTTCAGTTCTACCAGTGTTGAGTCCTTCAGTTACTCTCTGTTGCTCCCTTCTGCTTGTTTCCTTTCCCCTTACCTTCTAGTTGGTCTTGCCCACACCTGCTCCCAATGTGCTGATTAGCCTGGTCTTGGTTCAGTTTCCCTATATATACACCACCTCTACAGTTCCTCTTGGCTGGTTTGTTGTTGTTTTGTTGCTTCCTCGTCTCTGGCTCCCAACGTGAATTTTCCCTGACTTTATCTTATTTTTTGTTCTCAATGTTTTGTATTTTGTATTTTTTTTTATTTCTACCTCAGTTATCTGATTAAGAAGACTCACCTCTGCTTCCTGATCTCTGCATTTGGGTCCTCAAAACCTCCACTCAACTTGTGACACCATTAATGTTAAAGGAGATCAGAACAGCAATGTTTGAGTACCTAAAATATCGCATTCAATTCTGACAAAAAAGTTAAATTCAGTGAAGGCTGAAGGGGAGGAACTCAAATCCCTGACAGCCTAGATCAGTGTTTCCCAACCGTTTTTGACTTCTGTTCCCCTTTGGACATTTTTTCTTACCATAAGTTCCCCTCTCAGTCAAAATTACTGATGACTGTCCAAAAGTGGAACATGCAATACCTGAAATAAAGACTATTTTACTTAATCTTTTAACTTAAGTATTTAAATACAGGGCATTTTATTCCCAAATTCCATCTCAAATAAAAACGGCACATAAACATGTTGCTTGGACGTTTTACAATCACATTTAAACTTGGTGAATTGGGAACAAAAATTATAGTCAGACTGATTTAGTTTTCCTTTGCTTTTATTAAGACATCTGAGCTGTTTTGAGGAGCTCTGATAGCTCAGTGTAAAATCCAGCTGATCCCAGGCTACTCCTCTGCATCCAGGCTGTTCCTCTGCTTGGTTTGGATGTGGGTCAAAGCTGAAGGTGAATTCAAACATAGAAGACTTTGAGTTTTTGGTTTGGATCTATTCTTGGTATCTATCCAAACTCCATCCAACTATCCTACAAACTCCCACATCTTGACTGAATTCTGAGGCTGTTTAAATGGCTGTCATATGGCATTGCGCTAGCGAGGCTTCAGACGTCATCAATTTTGGCCCCTCCCCTAAATGAATCATGCTTCAACACGCAGTTCAGGGAAACGCCCCCTCCATTTCTCAACACACGCCTCGAAGCCTCGGCTCATCTCATATAACCACTACTGAATGGCCAAACTAGCTGTCACTGTATGCAGAGCTCTGCTGATTGGAGTTTTAAACATCGGTCCTCATCCTTCCTGAGAAGCTGGAAATGAAAATGGTTTGAACTGATTTCTGTAAAGACTTTTTACCTGCTGAACCTGGATTACCGACCTCTGATCTGGTTCTCCCAAAACACTAAACCTGACGGCCTCACAGTATTTATTCTCTTTATTATCTAAACACACAGCATAAACTCTTTGCTGTGACCCTCAGAAAAATAGACCCGATGTCCTCAAACAGGGGTATAATTGATTCTGCAAAAAAAACCCTTCATGAACCAAACTACAGCCTAGTTATAATCTGCCCAGCTATAGTCTATCAGTGGTTATATTATTGATAAATGGCATGGGCAGTACTTGTATATGCTGGGCATACACTGTGCGATATTTTCAATCATTGCACACAGCTACAGCTCAAACTGTAAGACGAAACTGCAGGGTTTAGAAGTTCACAGCATGTTCTCACACTGTGCGGCCCGACGCTCTGATGCGATCTACTTGCTCACAATGTGCGTCTAATAACCACGAGGGATTCAGCTCCGCAGTGAGATGGCGCTACTCGGCAATTTGCCACAACCACCTTACAACGGCCGACTAAATTTCAAACATGTTTGAGCTGGTCGTGAGAGGCTGATGGCCCCTCGTTACCCCCAGTACACCACACAACGCACCATCAGGATGAAAGTCGGCCTGATCCAAAATGTCTTGCAGAAAGGGCAGAAAGTTCTTTAGTGTAAGCACTGCGGACTCCAAAAACTACGACCAGTTATTCAGAGACTAACTGTGGTAAGCAACACTGTAGCCACTAGGGGGAAGTGTCCTGCAAAAGGATGTGACTGGGAGACATAGAGCAGGGGTTTGAACCAGCAACCCACTGGTGAAAGAACAAGTCCTACTTCCTGGGCCTCCATCATCCCAGTACAAATATATCCACAACAGAATGCCACAGCTTTAGACAAAATGGTGTCAAATAAATTTTTCTCAACATTTTGATCACTTCTTCCTATTGAAATGAGAAAATACGTTTGTTTTGGAGCGTATCGCAGATTTACTCAGAATAGCAAAATAAGAAATCCCTTCTCCTCCTGGGAACCGGGTCTCTCACCTCCTCTTACGAAGCCGTTGGTTGCTATGGCTGAGGTGGACAGGCCGGTGATGGACGTCACCACGGTGGCCATCAGGATGATACAAATGGTAAGTCCTGTCTCACAAAAACAGGAAAATGGTTACAGAGCGGGAAAGTGTTCAAAATCATTGATGAAGCCTGAACATGAATCACTTTAGATCCGACATTAGTTTGCATAAGGAACCATCACTCACCAATTCCAGCCTGTCCAACAATCCAGGACATTCTGATGAAGAGCATCACACCCCAGATATTCAGCATGCAGCGCACCTGAAACAACACGCATGCAGGTAGAACCGTGGACATGCTTTAGCACCAGCGACGCCTTCGCTCTGACTGTAGCAGGAAGAGACTTCCCAAAAAGTACTGCCAAGTTTAGGACTTCCTCTGAGAAAATGTGAGACTCCATCTTTGTTTTTTTTTGTTTCAAATAAAAGAGAAGAACTCACCAGAACTCCCCGAATCCAACCGAACTTGACCGTTCCTCCTTTTGCCTCCTTCGCCATCATCAAGGCTGCTGCCTCCTCCGCCGCCGATGGCTCTTCGCCGTTAGCCAGGCCGTCCTCCAAAGGCTCCTGACAGAAGGACCAATGATTCATTTGTGAGCGAATTTTTGGTTGTATCCTAATTAGTTTTCTGTAAAACGAGTTATTATGGTGAGTTTATTATCACATGGTTTTAACAAACAACAATCCTGAATGCAACTCTGTGCTGTTTAACAGAGGCGTAGTATAAATCCTGCTGTTTAGAAACACTTTTATAGAAGTTAGAGGATCAATTTAAGCTTTTTTCTCCAGTAAAAGTGCAAAGCTACTACAAGTACAAAAGTAAAAGTAATGCAGGAAAAAATGTTAAAGACAGAAGCTTTACTGCGCTATTAAAGGAACATTTTTCTACAACTGGATGATAACTTCCTTAGACTTAATTTTCTTAGTTTTATAACTAATGGTAAAAGTGTCACATTTAACTTTGCTTCATCTTGATAAAGGATTTATTTTGGTTTGTGGTGAACAACAAGTAGGGGCAGCACCGAGTCCAACCACAAAGATGTTAATTGTCTGGATGAAACTTTTTTAAATACTACGGAGCCCCCTAGGGGACATGGGGAATTTTTTTTTCTTTTGCGTTCCCTCGCAAAAACTATTGCGTTACCTCGCAAAATTTTTGAGTTACCTCGCAAAACCTTTTGTGTGAGAACGCAAAACCTTACTTCGGTAAAGTTAGAAAGATATTCACAGATTCGGACTTCCGGGATCAATAACTCTCGTTGTTGAAACACAAATGGCGCCTCTTTCATGTCCTGAAAGCACAGACTACATATTACAAGAATCAAAAAGCGTTATTTTCGAGTAAAACTAGCCATTCTCCGAGCTGGATGTATTACATTGATCTCTATGCACAGGCAGCGGCCAGGCAAGTGGTTAGGGACCATCTGCAAATGGTAAAACAACAGAAAAACGTTGCAAATAAAAATCAATAACTCCACCGGCGAAATCCCCATCTCCCCTAGGGGGCTCCGTAAAATACCAACAGGCCTTCATGAAAATAAGCTTAAATGAAACAAAACTAATGAGTCTATTTTTAAAATGTATGGAGTAGAAAGTAAAAAGTTGTCTAAAAAAATAATGACTCAAGTATAGGTAGACAAAATATCAACTTAAGTAAAGTAATGAAGTATTTGTACTTTGTTACTTGACGTCTCTGTGTTATGGTTCTCTCCTTTTGGACTTTGAGTTTTTTGTTTTTTCTATGTCATTCTATTTGGTTTATTTTCCATTTTGTGTTTTATTTAAGCCGTTTTGAGTTACTATCTGTTGCCCCCCTGTGCTTTGTCTCCTTTCCCCTAGCTCCCTTCTAGTCTCTTCCATCCACACCTGCTCCATATCAGCTGATTAGTCCAGTCTTTGGCTACGTTCACTGCAGCCTGAAGTGACCCAAATCTGATTTTTTTGGCCCGTATGCGACCTGGATCTGATCTTTTATGACAGTCTGAACAAAACAGATCCGATTTGTTCCAATGCGATCCAGGCCACTTGGCTCTGTGGTCCTGAATCCGATACGAATCTGATCTTTTCAAATGCGACCTGCGTCTGAATGATCAGGTCGTATTCATCGGACCTGAACGCCATTAATACCCGACAAAGGTCACTATTCTGGGTCTTGCTATGAAGAAGCAGCAAGAAAAACAACAACCATGGAGGATGATAATTCGGAGAGCAGTATTTATGTTTAACCATCTTGAAAAGATTGTGTTTTTATGGTTGGAATAGATCGGTAGATGCGCTCCAGCGCTACCATCTATGGTTACTTCCGTAAACACAGAGCACTCTGGCCGATGATGTCATTGCATTGTATCGATATTTTGAAAGTCGTAGGGAAGCGGCCGTTCCAACCGTTGCATTTCTGAATTCTCCCGAGTGGTTCACGACTTTACACGATTGAATAAAGTGAATGTGATTGGTCGCTTATCAAGGGGGCGGGATTGTTGTGGCAGAAGGTTCACAAGCAAGTCTGGTTGTGGCCGGTTTGTTGGAAGCATCTGGCTAACCAGTTAGCATCTTAGTGCTAGCAGGTTCCCAATGGGAAATTCCATTGGGACCAAGTAGCACTAAATTGGTGACTTAGAAACGACGCTGTCAAGGAACGCTATGGACAGCGGAAACATGCAAGAGGAGGAGAGTTTAGTGTCGGAGGTCGTGGATGAGTCTCCTCCGTCATCCATTTTTTATTTAGAGGAGGAAAGCGGGGACGAAGATGTTGTGGAAGAGGACGCCAGGGCGGCAGAAGCTTGGTTTGGTGTAGAAGGCTTCCAGCCGTACATGTTTGAGCCCTTGCCTCGCAACGCTGCCAGTTCTTTTAGCTCTACGCCTGCCGAAGACACAGACTACTAGCTTCGCTACATGTAGCGGCGCTACTGCCCATCACTGGCTGCGACATATGAATCAAGATGCTATGACCGAAAAAATTTGATTGACAGATGACCGTTGATATATGATTGGCTGAATTTAGGTGTTCAGGCTGACGTAGAACTAACTGGCCTGCAGAAGATAACGAAAAAAACACGGATTTTGAGACTTGACATTTAAATGTGACTTGCCTACGAGTTTAAATAATTGTTGTTGATTGCAGATGTGTCTAGTAGTCCCCATTGATTTTGCTTGTAAATCGGGAAGAATGGCGCTAGGCTTACCGCACCGTGACGTCACTGCCTGAAGATGGCAGGAGGGAGTTGTCGCCAACTTAGCGCTTTTGCTGCTATATTTATATTTATACTATTGGATCAGTATATTGTGGATATTAATTTTATATTATTATAATGTGGATATTTGCTGCACATTTTCATTCCTCTTTGAGACAGCATGAAAAGATAGCTGAGTACAAAACATAGAGAGGAAAACAAGAAGAAAAGGGACAAGAAGAGAGGGACACAACCTAGAACAGATAATGGATGTCTATTCTATTAACATATTTCTGTCTGTAAAATGGGGCTGTTTGATGGGTTGTCTTCTCAATTCAGAGGGCCCCCTGCCTGTCTTTGCCTAGGGCCCCAAATTTCCTAAATCCACCCCTGCCAGGATTAGGAGGGTGTCCAATCTGCTCTTAAAGTATGTTTCATCCTATGAAAATTGTGTTGCGTTTGCAACATGGCATACAAGACAGGAAACCACACTTCTGCTGCTAGGAAAAGCAACAAAAGTTCAGCGGCTTGTTCCGACCGCAGCAAACTTTGACTTTTCTGTTTTATCAAAAGTGATGCATCATACCTCATCATACCTCAGCTGCTTGCTCCCCCCCCCCCCCCCCCCTTTGTTCTAATGGTTTAGGTGTTTGAACCTGATAACAACCAACCAGAAGATGTCAGAAGTGACTTAAAAAACATGACTGTTTATCTTTCTGTTTTATCATCCCCCTTTTATTGACATTTCCCATTATTTTAGGAATTAAATCAGTATTAAACAAAATTAAAAACATGTCTTAAAAATTTTGTTGTGACTAAACATAAAACAATAAAAAAGGTTGCAGTGGAAATAAAAATTTTTTAAAAAACACACTTGCGATAAACACACAAACGCAAAATAAAGACTTCAAGAAATGAATAAAAAATTGGTTGGTTAAAATTAAGCCAGCATAAAAATAAATAAAAATTATTATTTTTTTTCATACTTAATGGCACAAAAATTCGTATTATTCGTATTATTAGCTACTTTTTCAAGCAATTTCATATTATTAAACCCTTCGTTTATTTCTGTATGTATTTTTAATTATGGCAGGCCTGGTCCTCCATATAAAAAGGCCTTATTGGTATGAAATTAAAAGAGGCTTAAGACTTAAAATGTGCAGGTTCTAATAAAAAGTTGTTTTCTTTCCACATTTGTTCCTTTGTCCCATTAAATCAGATTTTTCCTGCTGTAATTCAGGGGAAAATGTTAAAAACGTTGAAGGAAATAAATACTAAGGTCAAATTTAAATGACGTTTTATTTTATTTTATTTTTTTAAAAATATTTTTTAATTTATAAAAAGTTAAAAAAAAAGTGACATTTTCTGTTTGGATGTGGTTTTAATTAAATTAATGAATTTATCTTCCCCTTTTCCATCTATCATAAAGCTGATCATTTAAACATCATTTAAATCCTTTTTTCTTACGTTTTTTTCGATCATCTGATGTTTGAGGCTAATAGATTTTTTAATTTTATGTATTTAATGTTTAATATTCTTGTTTTCTTTGAGATCAGCATGTTTCTAATATAAATTGAACGTTTTTCTGTGCAAATAAACTGAATTTAACTGACAGTAAAATGAGTTTGAGTGTAAAACTGTTGATTGTTACTTTATCCAGTTCATCGTGCAGCTCTGACAGCGACGGTCTGGTGAGTTTCTCCCCGAAAGGCGCGGCGGTCTGCCGGTAGAAGTCGATGTTTGGCACCGCGTCGATGGTGTTGTGTCCGAAGGTCCGCATGTAGTAGGTGTTGGAGTGGGAGTCCGAGATCTGGGTCTGCCCGGTGCCGGTGGAGTGGAGGCTCACGGAGTCGCTGCGTGTCGTGTCCGGCTCGTGGAAAACATCCGGCGGGAGCCCGATGTCGGTGCCAGGGGCCGGATCCATGAAGCCCACCACCTTAAAGCGGCCTTTGGATTCCTCCGGAGCAGGAGCCGCAGCCGGTGTGGACGAGCCCTCCGTCACAACATCCACCTGGAAGCGGCTCTGCGCGGACCCGCCGGCGCGCAGAGAGGTTTTTCTTTCCGACATGATTTCAGAGTGGATCAGTGGCAGAGAGGAGCTGAGAAGAAAACTTTCAACTTTCCCAAACTGGATTTCAGACGATCTCCTCCTTTAAATTGAAGAGTTTAACTTTACGCATACATGTCTCCCTGCCCGCGGAGCGTAAACAGAAATGTGATATGATGTATAGGAGTTGAACACATGTATTTCTCTCTCTCCTGGTGAGCTGTGGGTTGATGCACCAGGACGCACAGCGGCAGTGTGCGCATTCCCTGCGTAAATGATCCCAACTCCACCGCTCTGTCCGTCTGTCTTTCACATGATGCCTCAAACGGTTTATTGTCATCTCTGCGTGTCTCCTCCTCCCCCAGCAGGACAGAAGGGGGGGTGATAACGGCTCCATTACGCACAGAAGGTTTTGGAACATCAGAAAAAAAAAATACATATATTCTGGTTGTTTTTTTCCAAATGATTGTTGCATATTATAAAAACACATAATCCAAAGTTCAGCTCTAGAAACTAGCAGGAAATTGTTGATATTTCTTAGAGCCTCTGGTAGATCTGATGCATGATGCATCAGTGCATGGGTGCGTTTCAAACAAAGCCATTTGTTATCGGTGACACACTGAGACATCGACTCTGCTGCTGCTGCAGGGACACAGCGGCTGCATTAGCATACAGAGAACAACAGCTGCTTTCTGCTCCTAAAGCTGAGCTCAAATCCAGGATGGATCAAACTGCTTCAAGGATTCATGATTATAAAGTTATTTCATTTAAAGCAGGGGTCTGTAACCTTTCATATAAAGAGCCGTTTTACCCCCGAGACTGGTTAATTAGAGCGGCAAAATATTCTATGACTGTTTAATAACACACAACCTCATATTTTGTTAAAATATCTGTGATAAGTAATTTTTTGCCACCTAAAACAACACCATGATGAAGATTCTGAGTCATCCAGGTCATAGTTATTCCAATAAAGACTTAAAAACAAACCACTGGACTTTGTGTCCAAAGACCTTTGACTTTAAAGATGTTTCAAAGTCCCATCCAGGAAGCTTTCTCAATTCAAAATGTTTGGAGTAGCGTTGAATTCCAAACTTTCTAGAGTGGACCAACAAAGCCTTTTTATTTAAATTCAATTCTATTCAGTGTATTTCTATAGCTCCAATTCACATCATGTCATCTCAGGTCACTTTCCAGTTCACCAGATCATCCAGTCAGATTGATTCAAAGTTTTCTATCTAAGGAAAACCAGCTGATTGCATGGACTAATTGACTCTTCAGCAATCCCTCACACTAAGCATGCTTGTAGCGACAGTGGAGAGGAAAAACTCCCTTTGAACAGGAAGAAACCTCCAGCAGAACCAGGCTCAGTGTGAGCGGCCATCTGCTGAGGCCCACTGGGGTTCAAGGAGACAGAAGCAGACATAGAAAAAGAAGCATAGATACAAAAGGCGAGTACTTTTTATGAGTAATTTGTAATTTTCTGAGTAGTTTTTGAGTAAATTTTAACCTAAGTAGTTTTACTTCGCTACATTTAAAACCCTCTCACGTTACTGAGTTAAAAAATAAATAAAAATACTGATGGTGAAAAAATTCAATGCGGCCGGAAATTTAAACCCCTGTGTCACGGAACCGGCACTTAATCGCCATTAAAAAATAGAAGAAGACTTTTTACTTTTAACAGAACTTTATTTACACAATTCAAACATATAAACAATTGATGTAAAAACAAGTGTCAGTTAAAAGCATTAAATGAGGAGCTTGTTAATAACAGTAAGATTTCTGGTATCTTTTGGGCATTTAATTTTGTGTGCATTTTGAAAACTTTAAAATGTAGTTTAAATTTCTTTATTCCTATGATGTCTGTTGGACAGTAGGATTGAAAATAGTTTGCACTTTATGGTTCAGGTTGTGACTGACCTTGTGCTGTGAGGAAGTATGTTGATCTTTTGCAGTGTGGATTTCCACTGAAATACGCCGATTAAAACACCTTGTGCTCAATTCCATTCATGACTCATCCTTTTTTTGCATTAAATAACTCAAAGTAACTAAGTAACTTTTACTCAAATTACATTTTAAATGAAGTAATTTTGTACTTTTACTTGAGTAAATTTTGAGATGGGGAATTTTACTTTTACTCTGAGTTGAATTTAGGCAAAGTAAAGATACTTTTACTCAATTACAATTTTTTAGTACTCTTTCCACCTCTGTTCGTTTGAGGACCAGAATGTTCACATTATGGATGTTTTATTTTGTTTTATTTTTGGAACATCTAAAACAACATACAATTTATTTGTATTTTTAGATTTTTAAATAATTGTAAAACATAATTTCTAAGTTTTTAAAAGAAAAATAGCTCTAAAAATATTTCTTTGTTCTTTACATGTCAATCTGTTGTGAAAATTCACTTCAAATATTCTTTATAAAACCACTAAAACTTCTAAGACAGGTATTTGTCATAATATGTTAGTTTTTGGTAGTTTTTGGAGCCATTTGATTTAGAGGAACCTCTGACTGAGACGAGTGACGCAGAACCAACTGATATTATTGCTTCAGTATAATCGGAACAGTTTAAAGAAGAAATTTCTGTTTCACAGGTATTATTTTTTCTTTTGTTTTTCTGCATGTTTTTTCTTTATTTCTTTTTTTTCCCCCCCTCGGTTCAAAATTAAAATACCTTTAAAATCCCATTATTATTTTTATTCCCATTATTTTAGGAATTAAAGACATAGGGAAGTCATATTTAAATGTCATTCCGTAAAAGTTCAAAAAAATATCAACTGGATTTGGTTTCCAAGATTTGAAGATGTTTCGCTTCCTCTCCAGGAAGCTTTCTCAATTCAAATGTCTGGATCTGCAATGAGTTTGAGTCTTCTATAGACAAGGCCTTGTATCGCTTGGAAACATGCAAATGGTAACCGATGAATGGGTCGTTTGGTTCCATTGTTAGCCTGTAATAACTGAAACCTGTCTATGATTCTGAAGGTCGGTCATTAAAGGGGGGGTCTCAGATTCCAGCTTCCAAAAAACGTACAATTCAGTTATAGAGCTGATCCCTTCCAGATATCACCACACCCCCCACCCCATCACAGAGGAACAAAGCACCTCCCCTCTCCAGCCGGTGAAAGCCATGGCCACCTCTGGCCCCCCATCTAGCTCCGCCCCCAGTCAGCAGAGCTCAGCGTATAGCTCAGGGACAGATTTAAAAACTGAAAATAGATTTTTTTTTTTTTTTCAGGAAAGCTGTTCTGAGGATCACCTCATGTTAAAGATTCTCCAGATATATTTGCTGCACAGACAAAATCAGCAGCCAGCCTCTGTGCTGTGAGGTCAGCCGGATCAGGACTGACCCTGGAAAGAAGCACAGAGGATTTACAACCTTAACATTAACTAAGGAACATTTGATAACTTCGCTGGAAGACCTCCAGGCAATCATTTAACTGAGCTTCAGTGCGACAGAGACTCTTCTTCTCCTGTTTTTGGTCATTTTCTCATCCGATCAGACTGACCTACTGTTGATTATAGTGAAGTTTCACTATTAAAGATAAAGAATACAGAGAAAGGAATAAAAATACAGAAAATATTGAAAATAAAATGTCCAATTCCAGCAAGTTTATACACACTAGAAAAATGATCTAGAAATAAGCAAAAAATTCTTGAATTAAGTGTATTTACCTTTAATTTGATAGTTTGCCAAATTAATGAGTATTTTTACTCTTAGAATAAGATAATTAGATAATATGCACTTGAAATAAAAAAAATAGTGTTTCTCTTGCAAATGCACTTATTTTAAGAAAAAATGACTTATCAAAATTTCGATTTTTTTTTTTTTTCCCAGCGCATTTTTGGGGAACATGGTTTGAATTTGAAGCTCTAAGGTTAACAGCAGTAAGCGTTGAACACGACACCAAGTTTCATGGTAAACATTTCTAAAGGTGCTGTTAGCATGAAACTTTCATCAGGTAAATAACCGAGCAATCCATAAATACAAAGAAAACAAAAATAAATAAATTCAGAAATGAAGCAACACATTCCATCTAGAAATAAATACAAAAAAATCTATTTACTTTTAACTTGAGTAGGTTAAATAAAAGTTTGCCAATGGAATGAGGATTTTTGAAAAAAAAAATGATTTCTTTAGATTCTTTTTTTTGCAGTTAAGGCAAGATTTCTGACAGAGGAGAGAGGATTTGTCAGATAAGTTGTCAAGAGCAAAGGATAACTTGTGAAAAGCTTCAGAAAAAAAGCTAATTTAAAAAGAAATACTTTAAATGCATTTTTTAGGTTTTTTGTCCTTATTTTTTTTTTGTTTATTATTTTTTTTAGGGTTTTTTGTCTTTATTTTTTTTATTATTTTTTTTTAGGGTTTTTTGTCTTTATTTTTATTATTATTATTTTTTTAGGGTTTTTTGTCTTTATTTTTTTATTATTATTTTTTTTAGGGTTTTTTGTCTTTATTTTTTTTATTATTTTTTTTAGGGTTTTTTGTCTTTATTTTTTTATTATTATTTTTTTAGGGTTTTTTGTCTTTATTTTTTTATTATTATTTTTTTTAGGGTTTTTTGTCTTTATTTTTTTTATTATTTTTTTTAGGGTTTTTTGTCTTTATTTTTTTTATTATTATTTTTTTTAGGGTTTTTTGTCTTTATTTTTTTATTAGTTTTTTTTTAGGGTTTTTTGTCTTTATTTTTTTTATTGTTATTTTTTTTAGGGTTTTTTGTCTTTATTTTTTTTATTATTTTTTTTTAGGGTTTTTTGTCTTTATTTTTTTATTATTATTTTTTTAGGGTTTTTTGTCTTTATTTTTTTATTATTATTTTTTTTAGGCTTTTTTGTCTTTATTGACATTCTGTATTTATTTGTATTTCTGCAGTGAAGGACTTTGGTCAATGCAATGTATTACAGGAAAAGGCTAAATTAATAAAGTTTGATTTGAACTGTTAAAAACCAACTCTTGAAGAGACTTCCAAGGAACAGGTGTGATCAGCTGATTCCTGGAAAGCTTCCTTCGTATGAGGCAGCAG